TTACACGGTTCATTTTTGTCTTATCGACATGATAATGGTCTACATAATCCAGAAGGAAAGAGCAAAGTAACACGGAGCTAGAGAAGTGAACGATAAGACGATCTAAAACACGTGCACCAAATAAACTTCATGTTTAGTTTTTGGTCGTTAAAATGATATTTTCTAAAAGAATTCCAAAGAAATATAACACCTCACGGTTACATAAAGGGAAAAAGACAATGTGCTTAAAAAAAGGTAATAGGGCTTGCTATAGCTTTGCTAAGCCTATATAAAAGTACTTTAATTCTTTACAGTTTCTAATATGATATTGAGAGGGATGAGGGAGGGTGGGGCTATGTGGCTATGTTAATTCTCTGTTTTTGGGTCGTTTTTTCCTTTAAAACAAACCTAGAAGACATTTGATAACAATTAAGTAAATACAATCATTCTAAAGTCATTTTATAAACATTTATGAATGTTTGGTTAGACGGAAAAAATATCGTTGGAATATATAATCTCGTCCCAATAATCTCAATCTTATACTGACATTTCTTATTAATTCTCGAAACTAAGCAACGATTCGTTTGTGTGCCTGTACAACACATCATAGCCTGTGGATGCTCTGTTGGTTTGCCTTCCTTAACACTTGTTTTCGGATTCATTGTCAAAGACGCCAGATTAATGGGTAACCTTAGTTTACTAATGCCAGTAACCAGGATTACTGATTATTCGTGTGTAAGACGAAATTAGGTTTACAAATCTATAAAAAAAATAATAATAATAAACAGGAACATACTTATGTAAACTGAATGAAGTTTTAACTACATTTCCTCAATAAATGTGAGGTCACTAACAATATTTGGTTTACTTTTGAGAAAACAACTTTGATCATTAGCAGACTTGTACTTGACTTCCGATGGGAGTCTCCCAACTAAAGCATCATTACACATTTAATTCTTTCGTGAAATAAAGTTGGATTTTTTTTTTCACCCAGAAATAAGTGAGTAGCTCTAATATATAATTAATCTTTCATATTAACCCTAAAGCTTTGAAAATGTTCTCCTTTCCGAATTTTGTCTTGATTGAGACTTTGTTCTTTTTTCAAAGTAAATTACGGCTCAACTTAACCAAGATAAACCCCTGTTCTTCATTCTCGACTATTGTTTAAGATAGTAATTAAGGGCAACAGCTACAAACAAATTTTGTTTCAAAAATCATGAAAATATAAACTAAATATATGTTTATATAAAATGGATAAGTTTAGGCCCATAAAGTTTCTCGGTGATGTATAGATTTATAAGGATGATGGCAAAAAGGAAGAAATATGAACATCACAAAATTTTACAATTTCTTATTATTTTAGAGACTTGATATATGAATCATTTACAGCCAAAGTTAGTTCAAAAATACATCAACCAATCCATGTACTTATATATTTTTTTTTGTTTGGAGCATGTGTCCATAAGGGTCTATTAATCTGCATTGTCTTATTCTTTTTTAACATCTATTACGAAAGATGATTAATGATTAATTGAAGTCCATAATTGCATAGAAAATTATCACCGAATATAAATAATTGATATGATGTCTATAGTTCTATAGCCAGAGCTTAAAATGAAATATGAGGATAATGAGCAGTATTTTAAAACCCAGAGATACTTTATGAAATCTATATACTAGTAGCTATAGAATAGTTTGCCACTTTTGACTATAGTATTAGTACGTGAATCTTAACTATCATTCATGGCTTTTCCATCTTAAAAAATGTTAAAAGAGAAACAGTTTGATTCCATGAAAAATGATTATCTGCACCTGTGAAATTTTAGCTTCAAAATGAAAATCAATATTTAAAAAAATAACACTTTTATTTTCTTGTTACGATAAGTTGAAAACTTTTGCTTTTACTGGCGTAAGCTATAGTGTTATATGTTATAAATCCAAAACTATACAAAGCCATGATACTTAAAATAAAAAATAAAAGTTTTTTATTATTTTTCTGAAGTGGTTCAGCCAGACTTACTATATAACCCCAGAATGTACAGCACCAAACATGTGTAACATATTGTTCTGGTGTAAAGACGGATAAAATTGTTTATTAATTACTTATATTGGACAGTTTTATTCAGAGGATATAAGACCACTTTATCTTGATGTACTTAATAACCCCCCCCCCTCCAAAAAAAAAAAAAAAAAAAAAATTACACCTGGGACTGATGTGTCGTTTTATTGGAACATTTCCTTTTACTCGGTAGAATGACTGATTTGAACATTAACGTCGCTGCACTTTTCAATAGTTGTAAATCTGATAACTCATTCTGCTTGGGATTCTTAGCATGTCTCATGATAATCAAATGTAGGGAGAAAATGGCTTAATCAATTTTACACCTCCCCCTCTTTACGTAATTAACAAAAACTGATGTAAATCTGAAAATCATCTGGAAATTTCATTGAATTTTTTTTTCTGTGAAATGCAGATTGAAGACTTCGAAATCAACACAAATCAGCTATTGACGTCACATTAGAAAAAAAGCAGAGGGAAAAAGTGAATGAAGGACGCGAAAAGCTTTGCAAATAATTCATTCATTTAAAAACCGTCAAACGGTGTCAAGGCCTTTTTAATACTTACATGTTTCTTCTATTATTTAACAGGAGTTTTATCTTTGAAAATGTTGTTTGCATTCTTAAATGAAGCTAATTATTACGGTTGTCAGTTTTAGTTAGTCTTGCCTCAGACTTGCACCTCGGTTGCTCTCTGTGCATTCCACAGATAATTAAACAATTTCGTGTTTAAGCATCACATTTTAAATTAGCTAAATTACTCAAATACTTGTAACTTTAAATTTCTTTAGTTTTAAACTAAATTGAAATGTCTTAAATATTCCAAAGTGTACCTTAAGAAAACTCCAATACCTTTTATTTTTTTGAAAAATAGAATAGCTCTAAAATAAAATACTTAGTACTTCAGTAATGCATACAAACACTCAAGTAAGTATATCAATTTATCGATTTATAAACTAGATCAAAAATATGAAAATATCGAAATTCTAAAAATGAAGATTTCAAAACAAAATAATACTACTTACAGAAGATAATCTTTGTCTTCCACTTCGGCCAGAAGATAAGAATTACGGTCAATGTATGACATTTTTGCCGAATCTTATTATTGTTTTATCCTAAATCAAGATTTCTTTTCACATTTGGTCCAAAACTTTCGCATGAAATATTACTTAACAGTGTCAGCTTCATCGCTGCTGTGCATCACAGCATTCAGAATTTTATCCAGTATCGTTCTGCCTTTGATTATCCGCGGACTTGCTCCAAAGAAACCTCACTTCCGTTGCCAATTCTTGTTCTGTGTCACCAGGCAACTTGTTAAAATCGATGGGTTGATATTAGTATAACCAAAAATTACGTTTAGGACACCGACGCATTTTTACGCATTAATTGTTCTAGAAATACCGAATCTTGCTCTCTTTCTCAATGACATGATATTTACAAAGTCAAATTCAAAATTAGATGGTTGTCAACGGAAATCAACCCAGTTAATCTTAACGTCATCAGAATGCTTTAAGTGGCAAGATCATTTAATCCTTAAATCGAATGTTTGACTAGAAAGAATTCATCGATTGTACCTCATAATGTTCCAGTTGTTCGTCTCTAGTTTTGATTTGCATTCAAATATTAGTAAACTTTATTGCAGTATATTGAAGCGCGTATTTATAAAGAAATTAGTATATAAAGAAAGTGTAATTAATAAGCTAATAAACTTTTCTTTACATTAGCATTCAAAGCAGTAATTGGTTTTTCATAAGTTAACTCGTTCCAGTTGCATTAATGCATCATAAAAGACTTGCGATAAAGATTATGATTTAACTGCCAAAAAAATCAAACACGCTCAGCTCCCTGGCATGTTTCTGGTATGGATATAACTATACTACGATAACACTTAATTTTTGCCTATTGTTCTGAAAAATAAAATTGGTAAAAGCATTCAAGAGTCAAAGGGCATACCAAATATTTTATGTGCAGATTTTCTAGCTATCATATCGCTTTGTATTCCATATCGATGAAGGATAAATCTATAGTATATTTTAGCCCTATGACCCAATTTCTCCCTGATATTAAAATCTAATTAATTGATAACAACCTCACAAGATTTCAGATTCTCCGATATCAATGTGTACAAATGTTTTCTTTGGTTTACATAGGTTTGTGCGAAATATGAATGTAATCATTTGCTCAGATCCTAAAATTCCAGCATTCTTTGATGGGTATCAGCAACAACTCAAATTGTTATAAAACACTGCTCAACGATTAAGCAAAGCGGTATTTTTCCGTCTTTATAGAAATTTCAGTTCTGGCTTATCCCAATAAAATTTAGCAACTTAGTGATATAAAACGGGCCACAGATATAACAGGGTACAGGTAAAACGGGCTACAAACACGGGCTGCAGATATAACAGGCTATAGATATAACAGGCTAAAGACATAATGAAAATTCATCGAACCTGTACCAAGGACGGTGTAAATAACGATTGGATGGTTTACTTTCTGTCGAATTTATTATCGATCCCTCTATATAGGACGCAGAATAAAAAAAATGATCCTTTGATGTTAGTAAGCCCATTTTAATTAAGATGTTAATTACCTTAATTGTAATGAAAACCTGGTTTATTCAAATCACGTAAAACCACGATATTGTGGCTTATGTTAACCCAAACTAAGACTTAACTCATGATATGTGGTCGATTACAATGAAATATAGTCGATTAAAGCACAATTGATTTTGAATTTTCTGATCACAATACTTCATTTTTCACGGTAGGTAATAGGGTTTGAGTTACTTTCAGAATATCAGTGATATTTTTTAAATGTCTTCATTGATTTGACAGGATATTGGATACCTCATTGTGCTTCGTGGAAGTTGCTTTTCATGCAAATAAAGAGCTTGTATATTTCATCAAATGAGGTGAGGGGTGAAGGACCTACTGCAATAAATAAACTTTATGATTGGCTCATTTAATTCCTTTTTTCAGAATATGTCTTCGAATTCAATTTTGCTTGTGATTACGTATTTACTCCCCGTTTCCTTGAGGGTGAGTTCGATAACCAGTTCAGTTTCCGTCAAGGTGCACTTGACTACGTAGATCTGTGGTTTTTTCGATCTAGCTGGAAGAATATTGTTCATCCAGACCTTACATACTTCTTGACATGCTTCGTCCGTGATGTACTCAACACCTCTCTTGTCTGTCTTATAAACCGCAAACACAGAATCTTCGTAATTGATTGCCTCGACTTCTTTCCGAATCAAAGTACCGACCTTTAACGGTGTTCCGGCCATTAAAAAGGGTTTAAACACACCACGACACCAAGTTCCACCAGCACTTTCTATTTTTAGTCTCTCTGGGTGGATTCCCTTTTGGAAGGGAACTTTGATGCCTGAGCCATAAGAATGACGTATCAATCTTTGGTCCACAATATTAACTGTATGTCCAAGAATCACTGCCCCCTTAAGGACAGCTGTACCAGGTTCCTTCGGATATAGTACGTATCGTTTCGAGCGTTGATATTTTTGGAACATCGTCTGCTGAACTAGTTTCGATTCCGCGGTCCCGCCAACAAAAATCAACATTGCAACTGAAGACAGTTCTTTGATTTTGAATAGCGCATCCAAATGATTTACTATTTTGTTTGTCACAGTTTTGAAAACATCTTGGATTATATCCATTTCAAATTGCATTTTACCATCTGTCATCTCAATTTTGCCCTTGTGCTTGAATTTTCCACTTTTTGTCAGTTCAGAGATTGTTTTGTCATTCAAAGACTTATAAATCTCATTCAACCGTTCCGGAATATAGATAACAAACCTTCCTTTTGTATTTTTTTCTACAGCGGGAACATTCTGCTTCAATCTTTCGAATTCCTTAATCCATTTGACAAATTCATCACACGCTTGAACCCTGAAGCGATCCATAGTGTCCTCCCCCAACATTTCTGTAATGAATTTGACAAATGCTTCGTCTATGGCCACGCCTCCCCAAGATAGCCTCGAGGGCTCGTACGCTTCTTTTATTTCTATTTTTGACACTCTTTCATGAACTGTAATGTCTGTTGTTCCTCCTGAAAGAGGGGCAATTGTTGTGTTAGCATACAACAACTATTAGAAAGACTACATGAACAATTTGTTATATTATACTTTCATGTAAATTAGTTGAATCTGAAAAACACTATTATCCTCTCAATGATGAAGCCACGCCCTCCAGCATAGCAGCAGTCAACATTGCTTGACAACGGGTGATATTCCAAAAAAAATATTGCCTGCGCAGAATTTATGCGCACAAGATTCACTGTTATATGTGTTTGTAGAAAACATTCAGTATAATATAATAAATATTGCATGTAGTTGAGTGTAACATTGAAAATTTTCACCCCTTGAAAACCATTGTCAACCTCGGCTGCGCCTCGGTTGACAATGGTTTTCGAAGGGTGAAAAATTTTAATGTTACACTCAACTACATGCAATATTTATATAATGGTTCCAGCAGACAAGGCTTGTAACAATATCGTCTTTGTTTCCAAGGCTTATTATTATAACTGTATTTTAGAAAAGAATGTGGTTTTAATTCTACATCTGGAAATCCAGCTTATACTCAGTGTTTACTTTCAGTCTTTGATACTTTTAACATTCCAGTCAACGAAGGTGATTTATTTTGTTCATATATATTAACCATAAAATTTTCAGCTTTTTAATGGATTTTTGATACACTTTTCTTCTTTTCTTTTTTTTTTTTTTTTTTTTTTTTTTTTTTTTTTTTTCATTTCAAGGGATTTTTTTTTTTTTATAAAAACTTAAATTCAAAGCAATTCCATAAACTATTAATTCCCCTGATAATTTAAAATACAAATTTACTGCGTTGCACGAGTAATTTATTATAAAAACAATCAATAATTGAAAATGTAATAGCATTTTAAATGGATATTTGATGTTTGTAGTTGGATGTCGCACTCCTGAAATTATAAATATATTTTTTTTTAAAAACTCTCTTGTGAAAAATATTCCATATCAAACATTGATTTTTCTGTTTATAATTTTTAATTTATTTATTATTATTTATCATATTTATTTTGTTTCTATTCTCTACTAGCTGTCTATCAATATTCAAAACAATATTGCGATGAAGGTACATAAATGTACATTTAAAATGAAAAAAATGAAAATGAAATAAAGGGCTCAGTAAATTTGAACAAATAACCAACTTTAATTAGATTTAAACTTTAATGGTATTTTGAACGTTAAAACATGAATATTTATTTGGATTTTTTTTTTTTCGTAAATTGGTTTTAAAAAAGGCGAATTTGTGCTGCCACGTAGTACTTTGCATTTCTGATTTGTGAAAATATCAGTTTTATTCAACGGATGATCTTTGTATGCTTGGCAATATTTCACTGTTGAAAATGAAAAGCTTTCATAATACCGGAAATGCTTTTGAAGAAACAGATTTTGTGGATTCTGTCAAAAAAAGTTTTTTTTCTTTATATATACTAAAATTACGATAATGAAAAATAGAGAAGGAGCTACCGGGCCCTGGTCCCCCAACCAGGGCAGGCCCGTATAAAGCAATTTCAGTTGGGGGGGGGGGGAGGGGCACAGCCATACATATTCAGTTGAGAGGGCACTATCAAAAATTCCCTGACAATCAAAAAAAAAAAAAGGTCAGGCGTTTTTATTGAGGGGGCACAAATTGTGCAGTAGGTGAATCTTCTCTTGGAATATATACATGTATTGTGGTTTCTTTAAGGTGTGCAATAAGATTTCGGAATTATCATTTGTACTTTGGGGACCAACGAAAGGGACGAAAAGCAACATTGTTTTTCTATGAAATTCTTGGCCCTGTTTCACAAAAGAAATTGCGACTATGTATGTCTAAAAGTATGATATAGTTTAAAAATCTCGCCAACTTCAAAAGTTTGTGAGATTGCATTTATATTAAAAAAATAACAATTGAATTCTTCTCTTGAAATTCAAAATGTGATTACAGATAAAAATTAAATAAAAAGTCGATTTTTTTAGTTGTAATTTCTTTATTCGTGGATTCCCTCCTCTCACATTTTACGAGAAGCCAAATCATCTTTTGGAGTATGATTGTTGATATTCTATAGATGTGCAATAAAGTTTCTGAATTTTTATTTGCGCCTTGGGACCGATTGGGGGATCAAAGTGTGTCTATAAAATCTTGGTTCCCATAACACCTCTTATGACAATAGCTTGGTGGGACAGACTAAAGTAGCCAAAATCTTCTTGAAGAATATGATGCCCTGAAGATGTACAACAATGTTTATAAATTTTTATTTTTATTCAAAGAGGAAAATTGAGGACAAAAATTTAAAACAACAATTTGAACAAGAAGTTCTGATATCCCAATTTTAGTTATGATTTTGTCCGATTTAATGAATTAGACAAAAACTGTTGGAGGAGTAGACAATACAGACAATTCGACTCTGGATACCTTACTAATTATTAAATTTTAATTCTTTGACTAGTATTGAGCTGCAAGATATTGACAATTTAAATGATTGCTAGAAAATGTCATGTTTAACTTTTCCCAGCCTTTAATATTAATATCATGATATAAAGTACTTATTTGTGGTCCATAAATTGGATAAAATATGTGCCCGAAAAAAATGGGAAAAGGGCAAATACCAATATAATTAATAGTATTGTAATGAATGAAAGTTAACAAAGGAACAAGACAAAGATGACGATTGTGATCATCATACATTTTTATATGAAGAGATCATTAAGAATACTCAGTACTACCTCCAATATCTATGACCATATACTTTGTCCCTACTGGTTGTGAATCTAAGCCTTTGTCACCCGTTTCAGCTTTAGCGAAGATACAGAATACGGAAGCAGCGTCGGCCTCATTGACGATAATCAAGTTGGAGTTTGGTATCCCAGCCTGCAAAATCAAAGGGCTTTTTTTAATAAAATATCGGAACATATTCATGCAGATTGAAAAGAAAGTCTGTTTTTTCCAGGGGCAAAAATGAATGATTTTTAAAGTTTTTTGTCGAAAGTCGTTCGGACTTTGCATTTTGTTTTATACAAAGAGAAGAAGAAAACTATTAAGGATCCTATATTTCCTATTTGTAACAATGATATAGCGAGAGCAATGCAATAATACATGCCTTGTTAGCTGCCGTTTTCATAAGGTTTTTTGCCTCTGTGTCCCAGATACTGGGCACAGTAAGAACCCACTGGACTTCTTTGTCTTTGATTCGTGGCTCTTGAAGAATGAGGCGCTGCTGTGCGTGAGATTTGATGTATTTTATGGTCTCCGTAACAACCAAAAGTGCGGAAACTTTCTTCCCTATGGCATCTTCAATTTGCAGACTCGGGGTAATCTTTTTAAATTAAAAAGGAAAAAAAGTTCCATGACGGAAATTATACATGTTTTTATGCAAAGTGAACGAAGAGTTAAAATAAGGACGTGATATTTTTATTACTAGTGAAAAGTCCAATCAGGAAGTTGCCAAACAAGCCAGCGTGAGATTATTGCTTATTGGTTTCAAGGTTTCGGTTTGAAAAATCACCAGGTATAAAGCTGGTCCTTAGAACTTTTTTCAGATTCTAAGCACATAAGACCGTGAAATAGATTAATCGTTAATTCATCAATGGACCAGATCTGGCAGTTTTATTAGATTAGCGTTTATCTGTATTAATTTTCTGGCGATCGCGAGGAAAATCATAGTCTCGTCTAGTAAAAGAAATCTTATTTGTAGGTTGCATTTCCGTTTACAGGGAAAATGAATTCGTGCGAAATGTATCGTCATTCATCACAAAATTGCAGAATGAAAATCGTTGTATTCAAGATTTTAAAATTTGTTTTTGAAAAATCTTAATTATGTTCGCAGCACTTAGTAGAAAGCCATAATTTCAGATTCTATGCAAGTTTATTTGTTTCTTTTTAAGATTTTTAAAAGCTTTAACGAATGTGATTGTACTATTGTGTAGATTTCAAAATTACATTTTACATATGATTATCCTATAATTCTTACTTTTTCATTTTTCATTTCGATTGTCTGCAGCACAGTAAGGAAACAAGAGAAATACGTGTAATTTGGAAATTTTCAGAGACAAAATGTTTTCATTACCAATTTTATAGCGCTGTTGAGCACTATTTTTGAAAGTGAATTTTATACTGATACTGACCTTGTTTTTAAAGAGTTGTAATTTGAATCTCTCAAAGTAATACCAGTCACTGTGCAATCCTTCAGAAGCTAGTTCTGCGTACTTATTTTCTGCCTCGTAGCCGAAGGCGTTGAAGGTCATTTTCGGGTCCAGCAGTAGGCAAGTAGGCGTCTTAATACCGAGAAGCCCCGGTGACTCTTCCGTCCATTTGTTGTTTAACGTTACTTCCATCCGGTCTGAGCCTAGGTCGCCTAAAATTTTGTAGGCGTATCCTGTCCCAGTGGTGCCGATGTCTATGGCGACACACGCCGAGTAGTCCTTTAGTGATTTACGTGCCATTGTTGTGAAAGTAATGATGACTGGACAAGTTTCTGCATATATAAAGATATATACATTACTGGAATGTACTCATCAATTCGCAGTTTGTGTGGGTAAAAAAAGGTCTAGGCCCAGTGAAATAAGTTTAATATGAAAAGGATTTCAACATAAGCATTTACACTGTATATTTTGAATAGACCTTTGAAAAAGAACAAAGGTATGCGTATACATTACAGTGTATGACAAATTATAAATATTTGTCTCCACGAGTAGACTTCGTCTTTAATTCTGAATACTTTACATAAAAATATCAACAGTTAAAGAAATTTTATAAATTTACTAAATTACATACGTATATTTTAAACCTACCTCCAGAACTCCAGGCTTAACAAACTGTTCAAAAGAGTGTAACCACATGGAACACACAGGTGCAGTTTAATTTTTTTTTAACAATTTAACAATCGTTTAAAATGCATTCAATTAAATTGGAATTATACACAATAGCTTTCTTTTTGTTAAATCAGAAACCATTGTCAACTATGTTTATCACTAATATCACTTACATTTATTCATTCACTTTGTCACACATAGAAAACAATCTGAAAATTTTGCTGTTAAGGCCATCTTAAAAAATTGTTTGGTTGCCCTCTCCCGACCGACTGGCTAAAAATGGCCTGACTTAAAACTTTTTATAACCTCCGTGAAACAATTATATTGTTATGCATTCCGGAAAAAAAGATTTGAAAATTTAGCATTGATGTTGAAATTTTCAGGGGAAAGCATTCCTCGCCTACCTACCGACCCAATTTGTTCTTACTGAGTTGGGAGAGGGCAAACAGACATTATTTTAAAGTTGGACTAATTTGTGGTAGTCAAAAGAATTCGATTAGGTCATTCTCTCTCTCTTTCTCTCTCTCTCTCTCTCAACAGAAAAACAAAACAAAAAAAGTAAATTAAAAAGCAGACTGATAATATCAAATACTATCTATATAATTATACTAATGTCATTTTCGAAATATTTGATTTCATTTTTATATGTTTTTTACGGTGCTTCGGGTTGAGGGTAGGGGTGGGGGCAGATTAAAAAAATTATTTGTTTAGACGAATTAGAAATTCGTTCGTTCAAATTAGGTATTTGTTCGGCCAAATTAGATATTTGTTCGGACTAATTAGATATTTGTTCGGACGAATTAGATATTTGTTCGGATCAATTGGAAATATCTATAATTTGTCCGAAAAAAAACATCTTATTTGCCCGAACGAATTTCTAATTCGTCCGAACAAATAAATATACAACATATAATCTTTATTGCCCAAGACATACATCTTATAGCATTGAGTTAACAAACATCAAATGATTAAGGTTGTGTGACATGGTAATACATGTACAAACATATGTAGTATATAATGTTAAATTGTAACAGACTTTGGAAATATACAGTTTGACCATATGTACATTAGACAGAAAATGATTTTGTGACACTTTCACGTACTTCAAAAGCACGTTTGAGGTAAATACCTAAATTGCACAGTTCTTTAAAAAAAAATTTACGCTGAGTAGTTGTATTAACTTAAAAACTGAAGGTTTTTTCCAGTAATATTTCTTAATATATCGACATCTAATATCACTAAAGTGAGGGCATTCCAAAATAAAATGAAATTCATCCTCAATATATAAATGGCACATTTCACAATATCTGTTATTTACTGATATGTTATTGTGAGGACCACATTCAATAGCTAGGTTATGGGATGACATACGTATTTTGCTTAATTGCTTCTTATATTTGATTGGAATAGCTTTTGTTAATAATATTGGAGAGAGAAATTGTCAATGATATGCTTAAAAATTTTGCATCTTGATGAACAATTTATTTGCTCGGAACTTGTTTGAATAAAAATATCTACAATTCTACAATATTTTTATCTAGTCCTATAACAGTGCAGTAGTTTCTCTCACTGAAAAATATATTTATAAGTAAACTCAGGGTAGTATGCTTTAGATTAGAGTTATACCCCATGGTTAAATTTATCGAATTCTCTAAAAAATGAATGATAATAAGCTTAATTCAAAGTGTCATAAAGTTTTTAAATACATGTTAAATTTTTTGATTTTACAGTGTATGTTCTGGTTTGCAATTTTAAAAAATCTAAAACAGTGTCATTCTAATTTTAATTTTCAATTCTGAAAATTCTCTTTAAAGAAAAAAGAATAGAAAATAGGAATGTTAAATCCGTTCTTTGTTCTTAATACCGCAATATAGGAACTAATTTATATTGAATACAACGAACAGGACCTTCAAGTATCATTTGATTTTTACAAATATGTTTCTTGAATATGTTCTTCATTTTTTCCCATCTATTTATTTATCATTTCCTCAGTAAGTCGATAAATGTGACCGATTCGCAATATTTCGCGTAGTATATTGTAAAAAGTCGTATTTACACTTTTTAAAGAAATTATTGTACATGTAATTTTGACAGAAATAAGACATAACTAATGGAGAAGTAACTATTAGTTATTCAGTAATTTACATAGCCTATTAGGTTATAACCATTTTCAAAATAACGAATATATGGAGCATAAATTCTAATTAAAATTGTTTTGGAAAGAAAGTTTCCTTTTAAAAAATAGATAAATGTACATTTAAAAAACAACAACAACAACAACAACAAAACTTCGCTCACCTGAGCACATTTGCTAGGAAAAAGCAGAAATCAGATCCTTATTGAAAAGATTAAATACTGAAGTGGTCATAAATATCCCCCCAATGATTTGTTCAAACTTGAATCCACACTAGCTGTTATTACTTCCATATTTCTTTGACCAATCGTGGCTTCCGAAGATTTTTCAAGATTTGTTCCTATACGTTTATCTTCTATTGTGGTCCTGCCCTAACCCCAGGGTTTATGATTTGAACAAACTGGAATATACTGTCATATACAAATTTAGAATTTTTCAATTTAAATTCGTATATGCATGGCAATTTGTCATATACAAATTCAAATTGAAAAATTCTAATTTTTTGTAGAGGACAATACACTATCTGAGGATGCTTCTGAATTGATATGACTAATAATAGCTTTGCTGTTCTTGAGAAGAAAATTTTTAATGATTTTTCCTCAATATTCCTTTGTATAACTTTGATCCCTGTGTGGCCCCTCTCTACTCCTGGGGGTCATGATTTGAACAAATTTGAATCTACATTACCTGAGGATAGTTCTGCATTAATATGACTAGTTATGGCTTTGTTGTTCTTGGGAGAAGAATTTTAATGATTTTTTTTTTGTATATATTCCTATGTATAACTTTGATCACCCAACATGGCCCCACCCTACCCCTGGGGGTCATGATTTGCACAAACTTGAATCTACACTATGCTTCCTTATAAATACATGCATGACCAATCATGGCTTTGTTATTCTTGATAAAAAAATTCTAATGATTTTTCCTTTGTATACCTATGTAAATCTTTGATCACCCATTGTGGACCCTCCCTACCCCTGGGGGTCATGATTCAAACAAACTTGAATCTAGACTTACTGAGGATCCTTCCATATAAATATGACTAATCATGGCTTTGCTGTTCTTGACAAGAGATTTTTAGGGAATTTTCCTATATATTTCTATGTAAAACTTTGTTTGCCCACTGTGGCCCCATCCTATCCTATATCCATATATTCCATGTTGGTCTATCTTGTGTCCATCTTTGGACCTGCCTCCATAACCAGTTGTTTTCTTTTACTTCTTTCTCCACTGATCTTCTCCAGGTCTCTTTTGGTCTTCCTCTCTTTCTTTTTTACCTTGACCCCTTCTTCAATTTGTGTTTAACTCAATTTGAAAGAAACTATTCAAGATATTTTTTATGAAATTTGAAATTTAGCAAAACACAAATTTGAAGTCAAGGTCAAAGGAAAGGTCTAGGGCGAAAATGTTGATGCCATTGAATAGCTCTCATCAATTTGTATAAGAATCTAAAGATTGGAATAAATATCTTGAATAGTTTCTTTGAAATTTTGCCAAACACAAACTTAAAATCAAGGTCAAAGGAAGGGTCAAGGTCAAAATATTGATGCAGTTGAATAGCTCTCACAAATATTTAGCAGCATATTAGATCTGATTAAAATATCTGAATAATTTCTTTGAAACTGAGCTTAACATTTTAAGAAAAGTGAATTCATTGTCAAAAGAAAAGGTCAAGGTAAAAAAAAAATTTGATGAAATTGAATAGTTCTGATCAGTATGTATCAGCATATAAGATTTGATGAAAATATTGAATAATTTCTTTCAACCTAATATAAACACTTAAGAAAAGTGGGGTCAAAGGAAAGCCAGGGTCAAAAAATGCTGATGCAGTTGAATAGCTGTTTTCAATATGTATCAGCATATGAAGTTTGATAAAAATATTTTGAATAGTTTCTTTGAAACTGAGCTAAAAGCAAAGTGTGACGGAAAGACAGAAGATGGACATGACAAAAACTATGTGCCATGGTGGGGCATAAAAACTATGTCCCAAGATGTCCTCATACATTTTATGCAACAGCCAAATCAACTTTTGAAATATGATCGGTGTGCTCTATAGATAATCAATAAAATTCTAGAATTTACATTTTCCTGGGACCAATTAGGGGCCAAAATTTAACATGCATTTTTTAAAATGAAAAAAAACTTCCTTCTAAAACTCTTTTTTTTAAAAAAAGAAAATATTCTTCTTTAGATTCTTTGATTATATCCACACTTCCTAAAGAAAGTTTGGTTACATTGTCATTATTCTACCCATCTGTCTGTCACACTATCTTTTTCCTCAAACTCCTCTCACATTTTAAACAGTAGCTATCATCTTTTTTGAATATGATTGTCGGTGTCCTGTAGATATGACATTTTCATTTTCACCATGGAGGGCAACTGGGGGTCCAAAAACGATGTTTATATACAAAAACCTGGTTTCCACAACTCCTTTTAAATTTTAAGTACTAGCTAAATCATCTTTTAAAAATTGATTGGTACACTGGAGGGTATCCATTACTTATCTGCTTATTCCATGAAGAATGGAAATGTAGCACTAGGACTCCACAGAGAGAGGCCAAGCTAAATATTTAATAATATATGTAATACTTGTATATGTTATTGTTCTTTTTTTTTTATTTAAAAAATTTATACATTTTGTAGCATCACTGTTTTGTAACAATATAAACATCTCATTAAATAGATGGTGCATACTGAAGTACCCTGAAAATAATGAACAGCACAGGACGGTGTTGGTAATCAAACATAAATGTAGACTATAACAATAAATATGTTACAGGAATTCCCTTCTGATACTTTTGCTTCCCTTCCTCTCATTTTTCCCCTTTATTTTACCATCCTACTATCTTCAAATCAGACTGATATAATTGTTAATGATTTTTTAAAAGTTATATGTAAACATATTTCATATCTTAATTTACCTTACCTTGTAAAAATTTAAGTGATTTCTAACTGATATGTATATGACATATTTTTATAATCAAAATTTTCATGCATATGTACTGTTAATTCAATCTACATTTACAACTGAAAGAGTGCATTTATTCAGGCATAAAATAAAAGAGATAAAACATTGTTGATATTCGTGGTATCGAAAATATCAAAAAACAACAACAGTAATAATATTAGTCAAAATGCGTAGCTATATCAATATATTGGGGACGTATTACAAACCGCAGGTTTACATATGAGATAACATTATTCTGAAAAGGTTTTATTTTCCCAAATCACTGAAGTTTTTAAAAGGAATGTTTTTTAGGAAAATTGAGTCAGGATATTTGTATTACATCATGAGATAAAAACTATGTACAAAAATTAGGTCTCTTCTAAAATTTAGCACTATAAAATTATATGTAAAGTTCATTAACAAGTGTTAAAATAAAAATATTTTAAAATGTACACATGCATAACAAATATATCATTTTAAAAAAAAATAACACTGGATATAAAACATGGAATGTTTATAACAATTCTTTCTTTGGAACTTTAAAAACATTCCAGATACAAAAAAAAAATATTTTTTCTTTTCTCCTAGCTGTTACCTTAAAATCGACCACAAGTCCCCAATATTACAGCAACGTAATATAAGTACTCAATAAATATTAAATACTTACAAAATGACTGAGATCCATTACATTAAATATAATACAAGCTAATGTTTTGAAATATGCATACATACATACAAAGCAGACCAAGTTTTTAAACAGCTTAAAGTCAATTTCATTTCACACAATTTGATATGCTTCCAACAGTTTGCTCCCTTAAGCTATCTATTTTTTAATATTTACAAAATGCACAAAACCACACTGGCAGTGTTGTAAAATGCTTGAAAAAGAAACAATATTCAAGAAAATACTTGACTTTAGTATGCCTTTGAGGCTGGTGAAAAATGAGATTTGAGATGATAAAGTTGATGAAAATCTGCCGAGACTACATGTGCACCGGTTGCATTACATGCATATATATTCAAGTAGAGAATGTAGACTATGCTTATCTTAATTCAGTGATATATAAGTTTGTGTCCATGAACAGAAAAGGATAAACGTCTCATAAAATTAATAATTAACTGTTACAACAGGTGCTTTGAATAATACAGATACCCATCACTTGATAAAGATGAGACTTTGTGTTGGAAGACATATTAATTTCACCTATACTGTCAATGGTCAGCGACAGCTATAAAATGGAGGCTTTTCTAAGATTGTCTCTGAGTATGGAATCCATGACAACTTGAAAAACTACTTGAATATTGCTTGTATCTGTGGCGGTGGTGAAATGTGGGTAGATGACTTTGGATGCTACTGTATTTTGATCCATGAACTGTTGCTGTATAAATATGGCTGCTGATTTCACATCTTTGTCTTTCCCTAAAGGGTATAAATACATTAAAGATAATTTCTATTTTAAATGATACTACTTCAAGAATCATTCTTTTAAACATTATACAAGAAGATTACACAGCACGTTTAATGTTTATATAATGCTGTAAACGAAGACTATAATTCATCTAATTTAAAAACATTAAATTCAACATAACACATTCTTTATTTTAAATTATTTATCAAACACACTAAAAATGGTTAAGTCAAAAAATTTTCATAAGTAAAAATTGACTTGCATAAACTTACCTCTGTATTCTTCAAAGAAAAGCCTTAAATGTCGACCAGAATAGCGAATTTTATCTTTGAACAAATCCAGCTTATTAAGGAAAAGTATCTACAAAAAAAAAGAAACAAATAAACAATATACATTTAATGCACCGACAGAGGAAGCAACAACACAAACTGTTAGACAATTAGAGTTATGTCCCTTACCATTGCTGCCTCTCTGAAGAATCTATTATTGCATATCCCCCTAAACAAAGTTAAACTCTCTCGAAGACGATTCTGGAAATACAAAAAAGCACTTTAAAAATACATATATTTTTATAAAACTGGAGTCTTGAAATTAATTTCAAGCACACCGAATATTTATATTTACTCTACAACAAAATCATTAAAGAAAAAACTCATTCAGATTATAATTTTACATTCTCATACCACATCAGGGTCTTCATATAAGCACATGTCATAAGCACTAAGTGCCACCACAAAGAGAACAGCCTTGACACAGTCAAAACAGGAGATCCACTTCTTTCTCTCTGACCTCTGACCCCCAACATCAAACATTCTATTAAAAACATGTTAATCTTTCAGATAGCGCATCACTCTCCTGATATTCTCTTTCACAAATAAAAAAAAATTGTTTGACAAAATGTTGTTTAATGGCATATTCGTTTTTTTTTATTGTTTTTTTTTTTAATTGTTTGTTTTTGTACCTGATGACGACATTTTCGATCTTGAAGCAGGTTTCTAGGACCCCCGTAGTCCGAACTCTGACCCTCAGCACATCTTTAGAGTTTGGCACAAATTCTGGCTTACATATTCTGTCCATATTCTCAAAGTAACTGGAAGAAAATTAAACAAAGTATTTTTTAAAAATATCTTAAATCATTTCTTTGAATTTTTAAGAAATATAGTTTCAGATGTTGTAAATAAACTGTGCTAGTTTTCTATTCTTATATTGCACGTTAATTTGTTTTTTTACTGAGAGTGGTTTAAATCATGCACCTGTAAAAATCTGACATCTAAATTCTACTTATCTATATTAAGACAAAATATCAGGTTTTTGCTTCCATCACTTTCTCATCTAGATACAACTTTCAAATAAAATCAACTAAAATTTGTACAGATAAGGCAGGTGAATTTTATCAGACTAAAAAAATGCAGATGAAGCAGTTCAAAAATGCCTAGTCATGTCAGATTCCTTGGATAATTGGAATTTTCTTTAAAATAAATCAACAAAATAACACCTGTCTTTCTGATGTCTTTCTGCATAACTTCAGGGTAATATATGCAGGTACATTATGATAAACTTAAATTTGAAACTCATAAATGGTACCCTAGTCATGACTTCTATTTGAAATCTAAATCTTTTTTATTACTTATTCAATAGATCTACTTAAAAAAAATACAAGCAAACACACAAAAATATTGTTCAAAAGATCACAGATTGTATTTGTAAAATTGTCAAGTTTTTGTTTGTCATTCCTAAACATACACCAGCTGACCTCATAAAGAAATTGTCCTACTGATGGCATAAAGAAAATCATAGACTGAGAGAGGTAGGAGCCTGGTATTTATCAAATTCACAAATCATACAAGCCTGGGGACAAAACTATAATGATGTGGTTATTGAAATTCATTGCTGATCTCAACCCCACATGGTTTTTAAAAAAAATGTATAAGCAAGGATGGGAAGAAATTTATTGTTTCTTTCAAATGTTTTTTTTTTTCATTAATTAAAAATTCTAATTTCTGTAGAAACTTGCCTGGATTAAAAATATAAATATAATCAAAGAGTATTTTTATCAAAGATAATGAATGAAATCTGTCAAAAATTCAAATAAAAACTGAAAAAGTACACAAGTTCAAATGTTTTTATCTTGAAAGTTCTGGTTTACCTAATGAATATAAAAATTGTTTCAATGGTGTAAGATTGATTGATTGTTTGTTGTTTAACATCCCTCTGGAGAATTTTTCACTCATATGAAGACCCCACCACTTGCAATGGTGTAAGAAAGATAAGAACAAAGATCAGTACAAGGTAATGCTGGTTGGTAGAAATCCTATATGTTTTATACATTGGAGTACATAGAACTTCAATCAGATATTAAAAATGTGTTTTTAACAATAAAATCAATTCAGACCAACCAAATAAAGACTTTCAAGAATGGGTACCACTAACTTGTACATCCCTCATCAACATTTAATAAGGTTAGACCATTATTAAAAGTTATTATCCAGATACACTGCCAACACTCAGAAAACATGCATCCATGGGATAAAAAAATGCTTACTCCCCTCCCACCCCCCTCCCCAACGACAAATATAAACCCTCCAACTTTGTTAGGCAGGGATAAAAATAGGGTATATACTGTAGATTCCTTATTTAATGCGATTACTTAATATCGCGAAATGGCCCAAGAGCGTCAAATTGCGAGAATAATAATTCGCGAATGGGTGATTTTTCTAAGAGATTTTACATACATTAAAGCACCATTAAAATAAAAGCGAGTAATTTTATTTCGCGAGCGGTGCTTCTCGCGTAATTACATGATAATTTATTCCTCGCGTATATTTAGGAATCTACAGTAATTCCTTTTCCCCTCTTTGAAAAAATGGATCATCATTTCCAAACATTTTGCATAAAAAAAAATAGATTTACTATATTTAAGAAAGTGTATCCAACCAAGAGATCCACAAATTCATAACTCTGGAAATCAGGCTGAAAAAACACTGCATGGACTTACTAAATAGCAGAGTCATTCAGTTCGTACTCGTATCCCCTTGAAACTGCATTCCTCACCCCTCGGTCTTGCCATAGGGCTCGGAGTGCTGTATACACCTGTGGAATCATGTCATGTCGCTTGTCAAAGCAACAGGTACATGTTAAAATCACCTGGGCATGGTGCTGAAAATTAAAAAGAAATTCAACAGTAAAAATTACTCATCAAAAAACATGCTATTCTTGTTACTTTTTTACAGGAAGAATAATTTTCTAAAAGCTGTTCATTGCATTTCTTATGGGACTTTCTGACTTTATCTGGTGAACCAATCACATTCAGTCAAAAATGTTTAAAATGCTCAATTTTTTGTTTTTTCTAAAAGTCATCAATCTTATTTACCCTGTTCTTTGGATTTTCCAGGTTGATGCGAAGCAGCCCCATGCCAGTGAGAACATACTTCATAGAGCCCAACAAATTGTCAAGAACTGCTGGCTGTAATTTAAGAAAGAAAATACTTTAACATATAATTTTCCTGAATTCATTATGTTCTTTTCTATATTATATCCTGTTTCTGTAAACCAGCTACTTATAAAAAAGTATTGTTTACCCAATTTTACCAACTACCAGATCAAGTTGACGAGTATTTTTTTTCTTGCAATTTATGCAAAGATTTTATTTCAGATTGGCTGAAATACTATAAATTGTAAACAAAAACTATTCAAATGTCATCTGATAGACTTTAAGATCTACATCTGAAATATAAAAAGATCTGGGCTAACAACCTTAAAATTAGTTGACACGTATTGTTAACCTAACTCCTGCAAGATGCAGATGGTTAACAGACTTTTGATTAATATACAGTGTGAGCCCATGACCACTCATATTTTCAACTCTTGTTTATGAAACAGACACATTATTAAAAAAAAAATTAAAAAAATCTCTTCCTCAATCGAGCAACTAAGTGCACATTCAACTTGCAGCCAGCATAGGCTAGCACTATCAAAATTCACACCTGGACAAGTAAGATACTTAGCCACAGGTAAATGTAATACCTACACGTATTAAGTAACAAATTAATTAAAATACAACATCTGTGCTTATCAATCTTCTTCAATAACTTCTTTCAATTTAGGCAACATCAACAAAGGCATCCTATTACACTGTAAACAAGGCTCTCTTGCCTATAAGGTACCAGGTCTGCCTATACATCAAATTTACTTAGTGCCACTGCTTTCAAAAGATCAATTCTTAGACAATAAAGATCTAAATCATAGTTCTGAAAGAAATAATTGTGTGTGCAACAGCTGTGATCAGCAAAATAGAACCATTGATGTTTCTTTCAATATTATATGTACGCATTTACAATCTATATTTGTAGTAATATAATACACTAAAAGCTTAAATATTTCTGTGTCCACTAGCTCCCTTTGACATTAAGATTTTTTGGCAAAAGCATTACTTTTAGAATAGAGAAGGTTAATTTCTCTGAATTGTTCTATTGAAATAAATCTATACATGTACTTCACTTTTTCAACTGACCAAAAGTTGGACATTTTCATTCCATGACAAATACCTTAAATAATCATTTTCTCTTGAAGCAGTTTAAGTCAAGAAATTTTCATACACAAAATATATGCAACTTTTTTAGATCATTTTCTCTGAAAAAGAAAGAGATTCTTGGGGACTAAACATGTGTAGTATACACACACACTAAATTTCTTCCATAAAATTGGAAATATTAATTGCAAATAAAATATTTGATAAAATCAATGTCTGAAAGCTTTTTGATGGAACAACAAAAAACACATTTCCTCATAAAACAAACTCACTAATTGCAGTAATAATGCCGGAAAATAAAAAAAAATGTTGAGAAATCAATTTCCCATAACTTAGATCTAAATCTGGAAATCAATGATGTTGCGGGCAATTAGAATCAAAACAATGGATGTTATTGATACTGGTGTCAGTAAATAATTCAATACATCTTCCAAAGACTTCAAGAGTCATCGAATGCTTCTTATTTATAATTTAAAATCATGACAAACTTGATTTTGGAAATGAAAAAGAAAAGACATATTGCAATGCTAGGTATCAAACTTGCAACTTTGTCTTTTAAAGAAAAACCTTCCACTAAACTGATTTAAATTTTTTTTAATGGAAACCAGGCCACCTTTAACAATAACAATAATATTCTAATCATTACCGGACACCCCTCTCATCATTAAGTGTCATTATCAAAATAGCGTGTAATCCAACAATAAATTTGATCCCGACACCATGTGAACCTTTTGTAATCGGGGCAAAATACTATAGCCGAATAGACATGAAAGACCATTGTGTATCTACCAAGACCCAACATTGCTGTGAGAGCCCTGGGGTGATGTTTTAATACTCTCCTAATCGCATTTTTCATCTTTTTCACTGATGGCCATTTTGTGGAGAAGATTGTTTATGAGTTATTTCATTTGGGATAGTGTCAATCTGCCCCCAAGATTCAGACTGTTCATAGCCATTCTAAAATATATGAATGATAAATATTTGATGAATGGTATCTTTTTCTTGATACCAAGAATCAGGAATTATTGATCTTGCGCGCTTGAACTTTTCCCTGGGTATTTGGGAATTATATTTATATTAATGAATTAAAAAATTCAATTTCAAAGTTGAATTCAAAACAATTATCACCAACAATAAAAAAAAATATTTTAGTAATAGATTTCATTAAAAGTTATTTGAAAAAAAAAAAATCAAAACTCCATCACATAATACATGTATGACCATTGCCTAATACACAGAAAATGATTGCAGGAATTGTCAAAAACCCAATATGAAGAAATTGCTAGAAAGATTTGTTGAAAGCCCCCTCCCCCTTTTTAATCATGCACTTTGAAGTAATATAAAATCCTCTTTTTTACGTGGGAAAAGCAAGCAAAATATAGAGGAGTATTTTATAGCCTGTTTACCTGAGTATCTTCTAATCAATATTTAAATGCATTTAGCAGATATTTTACTTTCCTGACAAATACTTCCTTAACGTTTTTTATCAGTATGATGTTTGCAAAGCACATGCAACTTTTAAAAAAAGGTCCAAATCTTTCATGTCTCCTCAAATATACTTTATTTATCAAAGATGTGTACCTTTCTTTGCATATTTTGACAAGTTTCTGAATGCATACAGAGGTAATTAGATGTCAGACTTCTTAAATATACTGAAGCTCTGAAATGACATTCAAGCAGTGCTTATATTGTAGACTTATGAGCACTTGTTAGCAGGAGATTGTCAGGTGCCTGTATCTATAACAAAGATACCTAATGGTCTGAGAAAGGTTCAGATATCATTTTAAAATCACCACTACACAAAGAAATGTTGATATTTTGTATCTTGATCTGTGGAGTTTGTACATCATAAAGTCACACCCTTCATCAGATCTCTGATTAATTAAGATTCTACTTTTCTACTGGTGTTCAATTATTTATAATTCCTAATAATAAAGTGTTAATAATTAAAAGTATATCCCAATAAAATCATTTAATACTCCATACATGAAAACTTGAATTAACACATGTTTTTCTATATGTCAATCATTCAAAGGTCATCTTGAAGATGAATGAGATCATTCTCTATTTTTGCCACTATTAGACACCTTAACTGACCATGTATATCATACATCCATAATCTGTCCACTGTTACAACAAATTACCATATCACATGCCCAATAAAATACCTTCTCTGGTCAGTCACTGAAGTAACATTGATTTATGACTTTTCTAACATAGAGATGTCTATTAAGGAGAATTGTACACTTCCTCTTAAGGGGTCTCAACCTTAAATGGGACATAAATCTTGCACTTTATATAGATGTTAACATGTTCAGGTGAAATAAGAAGTGTGCCCACATAATGTAGATGGTTTGTTTGTCCATCCCCCACTAACAAGGTATTTAGTGTTTGACACAAAGCGTTTATTGCCTTCTAATGAGCCCCTTGCTGATAGGTCCTCCTTATAGAGAAGCCGAGAGGACAAAGTATTGTACAAGCCTCACTGACAAGTAACATGTGAAATCACTCTAGTAGTCCAATTTCATTTCTGGAGAGGGTTGTTTGTTTGATTGTTCACCTGCACAGAGTACCACATTTGTACTGTGTTTAGAATAAACAAATTAACAACACTGTTTTCTTTTTCCCCCCTTTAATTGCTTCTCCATAACAACCTTTACCTTAAATGATCGCAGCTCATCGAATGAGAAGCCATCATTATGGATGATCTTCATCTGTTTTACCAGGGTACTCTTTCCACCTTCTGCAGCCCCTGTAAAATTACAAATATATTAACCACTACTGGCTTAAAGAACTTGTGCACTTTAAAATCAAAGAATGAGTCAACAAAATTTCAAGATGAGCTCATCTGCACTTTGCACATGAAATTCAGTCCAAAGAATTTAAAAATGTGTGTTTAGCTAGTTCACCTCAAACTTTAATTAGAGGCATTGGTATACTACATTAAACTTACATGTATATGATATATTTCAATAAAGTTCTCTAGCAATGCAGCTATAGTACAACATATTAAGAGTCCCCTAGACTTCCGGCTCATAATCACTGCTACAACAAACAACTTTTATTCCATAGACCATTCCTTTTTTTGACCGCAAGTACCCCCCCCCCCCCCTTAATTCTTAATTTAATTAAATAAGTAATTTCTTCATTCTCTTTCTGATCTGGTTTTGTCATTTTATTTAACCTGCAGATTAGTATGTTATGAAGTCTGTTGAATAAAATACAGAAACTGTAATTCAATTTATCTGAAAATTGTTTCCTTTCAAATAAAAGAAAAAGACAGACCAATAAGTGTAACAAATTGATATTCTGGCTTGAGATGATTTCACAGATATTCATCTAAAACATTACATTCAATATCTTTTTTTGAGATATCAATTGCGTAGGCTAATTCAATAGAACATTAAAGCCTGCTGAACTATGAAATACTCGTGATATTCAATCCAATAATTTAATCTTGTATTTTAAAGCATTCAAGGAATGTTTGGAATGTCAAGTTGTTACACAATAATCAATGTATTTGTTGCAATTCTCCTGACTGACTGCTTACTTTGTGTCAGTTTAAATTACCTTATTTTGATTCTTAATATTGGTAAAACTATTGAGAATACCATGTTTTATGTTGTATTTAATTAAACCAAAAACATCTTGTGCATGCAATGCTTTTCTATAAACAAGTGACTATGGAAAATTCTTCTTTAAGTCAAAGTTGACAAGTTTGTACGACCATTAATGTAAATTTTTACATACCATATACTGATAGTTTCTGTAAGCACAATGATAAATCAGAGCCTAGATCAGTCCGAGTCTCTACAAGTTTATCCCTTTCAATATGTAGATATACAAAAGTGGTAGCTAAGATTTATTTTTATTAAAGTTGATTATTATAAGACTTAAATTGACAAAGCACTGATGTGGATTTTCATAAAATTTAATTACAGGGATGGACCTTCACCCTCAATATACATAATGTATTCTCATTAATTGATATGAAGCTGGGTGTTTTAAATCAAAATCTTAGCTTATTTCCTAATTGCTGGAAGTTAAGTATTAGCCTAACCTGTCCCAGTCAGTGCATGTTCTTATAAGTAAAGAAAAACTTTGAAAAGCAGTGAAAATCTAAAATTAATGTACCAGGTACATGAAGGGCTTGGATCAGAATGTTTTGTATTTCACTTAAATACACAATCTGATCTACTACTGACTTGGAGAACTTGAACAATAAAGCAGCAATCAGCAATTCATTTTTCATCCTATTATTGTATCGATCCATACATTTCTTTTTATAATACCCTAATCTAAATGGATCATCAATTCCAAATTTATTTAAAAGTTCTCTTTAATCCAAATGTTGAAATCTGTTGACATATCCAGCATTTTCAAGAGGGGGATAAATCCTTTTTCAACTTTCACAATGACATTTTATCTGCATGGTGTTTGCAATAGGAGGAAATTCAATGACACAAGAATTAAAAAAGTCCATGTTTGGCTGGATATTAAAGGAACAAGGGTAGTTTTCTTTTTTCATGTTAAACATATTTAGATTTCACACACACAAAAAAAGTCTCTCCTATGCATAATTCTTCTTATGAAAAAGGATTTGTCAATTAAATGCTTGATCAGAAATAAATTTAAAAGGTTTCTTAAGTGTGGAGTAAATTAATGGTTACCATATTAGGAAAATCCTTTGGGTTTTTTGTTAGACAGTGCATGAAAAGTCATACCCCCACTGTTAGGACTTGAATTAAGAATACTTGTAACTCAATCCCTTCCGTTTTGGGTTGTTTATCAAATTTGACAGTCCCAGGTAACACAATATAATTTAAGGCGTAAGCATGAAAGTTTTTTTTTTAACTTTCTTGCACGCTATTTTCTTGTCCTTTAAAGATCAAGGCCCAAGTATTCTGATCAATAAACTATTCACAACAACTTAGGAAGTACCTTTTCTGAACCTTTAAATCAGCATCAACCACAATACAATTGCATTTCATAGACAGGTCTTATTCACTGAGCATGTTCTCTTTCCAATCACTTTATATGTCCAACTGGGGAAAAGGACATTTCTTCATAATGATGTCCTAGAAAACAATCATTTTCCTCGTATGGAACTGCATAAGGGCAAAGATTGTATATATGCAGTTTCATGGTATAAGATGCCAGAAAGCTGTTGCATAAATCAACAGCCAGTCTACATTAACTTACAAATATGTCTTGTCATTTCAGAATTTCAATAATGTGTCAGATTCTGACCTCACAAAATTTAATTTAACTTTTAACTTGCATGCTTTGAATGATGTTAATGTATATACAGTCAAACCTCGTTATCTTGAACTTCAAGGGACCAATAAAATACTTCGAGATTTCCGAGGATTCAAGATATCCAGGGTAAAATACTTAAGAAATAAGTGCTTGGGACTTCAAAAATCACTTTGACATATCCATGGTATTTCAAGATATCCTTGTTCGAGATACCGAAGTTCAACTGTATGTGTTTACTCTGGGTCTGCAACCAACAAAGCAAGTAGTAATGGAATCTACAACCAACACAGCAAGTGGAAATGGAATGGTACATAATTTTAAAACTACAAAGACTATAAAAATTACTGCAGTTATGTATATTAATGGATCTCAAACTTTATCCAAGGACTGGGGTCAGTTGAATCATATATAACCACAAATTACTGCTTATGAACAGATTGCCTTGTGATTCACTTCTACCATAAATAAGTTAATGCCATGCAAGGATGTTTAACTTAAGAATGACTTAAATTTAGCATAATTGGCTGCATTATGTGTAAGGTTTTAAAAAGAATTTAAAATTTTAATCTACACATAACAACACATCAATTACAAATCCCATTTCTTAAGAACTTCATATGGTTTAAAACCAGAGACTTATTAATTTTTTGCCTTCAGCCATTTTAAGTTAAGCTCAATAAACTAAAAAAGATGTTCAAGTGGCCAAGATAAAAAAGCTTCATTTATATAATTTCAAAATACTCTTCTTAGGTTGCCTTTTAACTTTGAAAGTCAACCACTTTTTGTATCTTTAGAAATTCTAGGTTCTTTGTATTCTTTTATATGTGTCATAAGCCTTTAATCTTCAGTGTAACATTTCCTTCAAGCTGACAAAACAACTAAAATGAACAAAATGAGACCTGCTTCAACCAGAACACCTGATACAAAAATATTTTTTGATGTAGATAATACCCAGAACACAGAATGTGCCTTAACATTGCTTTTAAAGTGCATGGTATGGGTGCAAATGCACATAATGTGTTGAATTTTCCGTAGCCTTATTCTTATGAGAACAGCTAAAATGAATGAAATTGAATTATTCTAGAATGATTTGATGCCACAAATATTTCAAGGGATTGCTAATTCTAAAGATTCCACTGAAGCACAAATATAAAGGTTATATCTATGATCCCTGTCAAAAACTGACAATACATTCTCAGGATGAATAAACCTCTATAAACATGCTCACAGAGAAGGAAGAATGCAGAATTATATATCAACGAGTTCTGCCCAAGACAGACAAATCAAAAAATAGACTGCGCTTATCGTGTTTGATCGAAGGCCAGTCTTTGTTTGTAGGTAAGCGTGGGGTGTTACTATTCTTTAACAATTCAAATACCTCTGATATCAGAATTTCCACAGGCTCTCTGGATGTGTTCATATATATTAAATACTTATCATTTTTCCTCCTGCAATACAATGCAGACTAACTCTATAATACTGATTGACAAATCCTGGACACACAAAAAACATTATATGTGATGACTTAAAATTCAGACAATCTTAATACTGGCATCAAGTAATCAGTGGACTATGAAGTTTACTATACTTACAATAAAACCTCATTATCTCGAACAGGTCCAAGATTTAACTTCGAAATAATGAGGGCAAAAAACAAACAAAATGTGGTTTTGGACTGCCAACTCATTTCAACTTATCCCTAGTATTCAAGATATTGGTCTTTGAGATGATGAAGTTAAATCAAATACTGTTAACATGGAAACACTGACAAACAAATTATGAATGTCAAAATATTTCAATGCTAATCAAAATTTTAATTATCAATAAAGAAATTAAGCTGTAAAATACTTGTTGACTGTCAAAGTTTCACCGTCAATTTTTTTAGATCAAGAATTAAATCATCAAACTTTTAAAACAATGTTTACAGTATTTCTTTTGTAAAATTGCCATGAATACATAATACAGAGCATGAGTTTTTCAACAACCTCTTCATTTTGAAGATGTTTAACATTCTGTTATTGTATGTAAATTTGTTGTTCTATAAAATAGATCAAGGTCAACCCCTTCCATCTGTGGACATTAAGTAGTTAATTAAATCAGTTTCACTGTCTCATTACACATTTCAAGTTTGTTAAATCAGGTGTTTATAATGCATATAAATTCATCTCCTTGACTAGAACAACTATACCCCCTCCTCCCTACTTAATGTTCAAATTATTCTTCAATGTTTGAGTGACCATAATAAACAATCGAATTTCTTGACTATTAAAGTTCAAAAGTTTTGGTGAATGATTAAAAACATGCCTTAATTTTAGATATAAAAATAATTTCCCTAGAGTTAAAGAAATTGTAAGTTGTGACCTTACATGTATGATCTGATGATTTCATATACTGGGTATTTCAAAAGGAGGGGGGGGGGGGGATTCTGAAAGCAGTTCATGACCCTGTTATTCAGAATGACAGTTACAAGTGTGCCCTCCTTAAATTATTGGTCAATATTGATTTGTTGATAAACTTGATAATGCAGAGATAATATCAAATGTTACCTTGCTTTATAAATATGTGAATTATAAATTAATCCTCGGAAAGATTATTTTACTTTGAGATCGGAGACAACAGTGAGAACAATGTGATTCAGCATTAATATTTACACTGATATACAAGATAATTTAGCAGATGAAGTCTAGACCACACCTACATGTATTCAATATATACTTTATATAAGAGAATGTGAATTTTGGCGAAAATATGTACATGTACTTATACTATCTTGCATATATTCTATCTCTCTTTCATTCATGTTTTGAATCCTGCTGGAATAATTAAATATGAATGCTGCAAAATATGAGGGAGAAGGGAGAAGTGGGGGGCATTTAAAAAAAATGAGAGAACTTTCTATAAGGAGGGGTTCAAGGAAGTACATGCGGTTCTTAGTTAAAGTCATTCTAACATTTATTTTTTGATCTTTGTTTTCTTTAAACTGAAAACAATGACATATAAACTTAATCTCACTGGATTATCTAAATCCAATAAACTCCTTATAATTGTGATAATCAAATTAATACAATCACAGCCTTGAATGTTTTTATAGTAATGTGAAACTCTCAGAAGATCACATGAAGTCAGCAGGTATAAACTGATTGTTCCAATCTTTTAACCCTCTTAATGCTGACTTTTGGCATCCGAAATTTTCTCACCGAAATTAGTATATAATTATAATTTATTGAGTCATATGACATAAACTTTCTTGTGTAGGCCTACTCATGGGCCAATTTGACTGGTCATTAAAATGTTTTTTTTTAATAACAATGAATCACGGTGTCAATGAATTGAAAAATACTCCGATGCATGAAGGGTGTCATGAGAGAATTAAATCTACAAAATTTTTAAGTCCTATTTTCAGACATAAATGCTTATGAAAACATAAACAAAAGATCATCTTGGTGTAGCATTCATAATTGAAGATAATTAAAACTTTTTAAAAACCAACGCTAAAAAATTTACACATGGATACCAACACGACATAAAAATTCAAAAGACCAGATCATTTAAGTAAATCATTCAACAGCTAATCTTAATACTCTATCAAAACACTCCATCAACATTCTGTGTTTGTCACAAACTGTCCTTTTAAACAGTTAAAAATATGGCTTTTTTAAGGAAAAAAAAATCTATCCATGCGAATAACTGTTGAGGAAACGCAACTGGATACCTGTGCTTTAAAGCAATTAAATGTGTTAGAAAACAAGGCTATGATATATTTCCATTGCTTATGTCATTTTCCTATTTTAATATGAAAACCAACAAAATTCCTTCATATTTTAGAGAGAAAGGAGTTTTCAGAATGCCTCTATCTATCTTGTATATGGTGACACATCAAAGACTTTATTAACCAACCTAAATAATTGACACTTGGTCTTATTACCTCTTGGCACTTGAACGATTAAATCAATGACACATATATTTAGCTAATAAATAAAGAAAAGTATGCATTGATCCTAAAAAATAAAATAAACATTGGACACCCACACCCAAAATACCTCTGTCAATCTGTCAAAATGATCCCATTTTATATCAAATTTAATAAGAATTTGATTGGTATTTAATTTCACTTATAATTGGTACTTGTCCATGTTAAGTCCATTCAACAAAATACACATTTCCCATCAAGCCTTGAAGTAAAATATAAATTGATAGATGACCTCTTGTCAAAATTTACACGAAAATGACACTCCATTTTGTAAATACTGTCATTAAGAGTCTGTAAATAGGAATAAGAAAGGAATTAAAGATAACTGAGTTGATTTAAACTAAAATATTTAGTTTTCTAGGTGTCAATATTTTCAAACAATTATGTGTGAATGTCCATACTCTTGGTCAGAAAAGTAAAGAATATTATTAAAACGTAGTTGAATCTACAATTACATCGGACATATATATACATTATCAAGGGTGAATAATTTAGAGAAACTTTGGTCAAGTCTTGACTCATTTTACATGTTATATATAAAACAAACTGTCCACATCTACAAAATAAGCCATATTTATGTGAGGAGGAAGACATGCTGTCCTGAACATGTGGTTACACAGAGAATGATAATTAAATTTTACTCAACCTTCCTGGTTTACTATTTTATTAGAAATGAGTGAGAGAGCTATTGTCTATTCAAACTTTTTTTCTTTTATGTGTATTTCAAAAAAATCTGTAAAATTAATAGAAAGTGAAGGTTGTGCATTTTGTTTATTGACAATTGATTCTTAACTCCCAGTCAAATACCACTGGTTGATTGACTTGATCCCAGTTTATCCCCCATTTATGACCCATGTGTGACATATGATTGGTCTGTAACTGATTTATGTGACCACTAAATATATGACTTACCCAGTAAGAGAATTTTGATGACATTTTGGTCTTTCTTGGCCCAGGTCTGTAGGTCTTTGTCTATTGCCTCACTCCGTGCCCGGGCCTTAAGTTCCTCCTGATCAAGACTCAGACACTGGCCCATAATCCGAACTACATACTGAGCTCTCAGCTGTCAATGACCATAAAAGATTGATGATTATGTAAAAGATAAGTTCAACTGACAGCATGTAACTTTTTCTTGTAGAAATCACTGACATGTCTATTCAAATGATGGTTATTAAGGTCAAGATTTCTCAAACTTGAGAAATAAATTCCTTTTATGATGCTTTATAACTATAGCTCGGTCAAATAAGGTGTATCAGGGCATAATTTGCAAGAAAACAGGACGAAAAACCATCTTGTAAACTGTCATTTTCAATGAAAAATTAAGAAAGCCAGTCACGAATATGGGAGTTTTTTCCATATCAGACAAAGGAAATGTATTCAGATTGCCTACAGTCTCTCAGAAAACGGTAATTTGTATGTTCTTAGCCTCTTCTTTAAAATAATGTAAAATTGAATATAGGTATCGGGATTACTTTTCACATGATTTCAAATTGAATGCCATGAAAATACTTTATTTTCTACATAATTCTATTGGAGCTGTAAAGTACGGGAAGAGGAAAGTTTAAATTGATTTTGACATCATAATGGATCTAGCACCGAAAAGACGGTCTAAAGTCATTTACTAGATCTTGACCTAAAATCAATTTTTATACTTTTTTAAAATCTATGATCACTGTCACTTAATTTAGTTATAAATACACAATTATTATTGAAGTCTTTTATGGGGGGGACCCAAATTTGTGCCCTAGATAGTTCCTATTACCCTCCTCAGAGAAGATTAATTTCTCTTCCAACAGTGGAAGGGAAGATACGTGTTTAAATTCATATATTATATTAATCAATGATAAATGTTATTAGTAACTTTTAAACTTTCTTACAGACAAAACAAAGTTAAATATCTGAAAACTGTTCTTTCTCTCATTTTCTTTGACAATATTTACTAATAAACACATGGAAATCTATTCTCACAAAGTGTTATTTCCTGAGGTTTGACCTGAATTTTCTACCCCAAGAGTTTATCTTTTCAAAAGATGAGAAAACCATACGCAGTTTAGATTTACATTTTGCCATATGCATGGCTGGCTAAAATCTTGCACAAATGTTATCTGTAAATTTTTACCGAGCACTGTCAACTTACCTGTGGCAAAAAATATTTCCGCTTGTTAAAAAAAAAACTTTTAAAAATCCTGCATGTGTATCTTATCTCGCTGGCGTTTACACCTGTAATGCAATGTAAACACAGAAAGCATGTGTACTTAAACAGTTAAAGGCAACATTTGAGGTCAACCGTGACGAAAAATATTCAGCTGATGACAACTCAAGAGAGATTCCGAGAGAACGGCATAAAAAAATCCGCGAAATTTTGTATGCTTATCCCGATCGTATTTTAATAGAACAAAATAAATAAATAAATAAAAAATAAAAAAAGGACACTTCATGATTAACTCCAGGAAGTGAATTTTAGAGACATGTTTTTGTCCATCGTTTGGGGCCAGGAATCCGACATCTGTGAGTAGCTAAAATTCACTTCAATCATACTAACTTACATGAAAAGAATATTTCACTATTTAAAAAAGAACTATTAGAACTAGAGACATATCTCTGTTAGAACTAAAAATTATAACCCCTTGTAACTTTAATTTGAGTGATTAATTTATATATACTAAGTATGAAATCCCTCTCAGGCCTGAAATGGTATTTTAATTTCATTATTACTCTATATTATTTTTGTCCCTTATATGACAAATAGCACGCAACGTACATGTACTTTACAGTGTACGTTTCCCACTGATAATTTTCCGAGAAAATCTAAATTTGAAATCTTAATGTCTTCTGATGTTCTTAGAAAAAAAATCAGCATACATTACCAGAAGTTTTGAACAGATATCAAATGATGAGAATTATTTTTTAAAGAAAAATTAACAACGACAAAAATTAACTGGTATTTCCTCAAAATTTGATTCAGATCAAGTGTACAACATTACTAGGCATCGTAAAATTGCACAAACATCTTTCAATTATTGGATTTCTTAAATGAAACAGAGAATAAGATAATAAAGTCCAGAACTACAAATGGTACGTTGCGTATGTCGCGTTTGTGAAATGACCCTTGACTAAACCAAAGCTGTATTTTTTTTTCATTTAAAAGCTGTACAACAATTTCCAAATTTAATTTTTGAGAATTGTCAATTACCGGTAGAATATGTCACATAACAAAAACATCTTGTGATACTATTGTCTTCAAATTTGGGGTGGTCTGATCATATTGATTACATTGTAAAGAAGGCTTACAAAAAATTTGGTTTAATGAAGAAAAAACTAAAATTCACTGTTGTCCTAGATGTATATTTCTTTCATCAGATCACAACTGGAATACACTGTTGAAGTTTGGACTGGATGTAGAAAGGCAGATATTAAAAAGCTTGAAGAAAGTTCAGTTATTTGCTGCTAGAATAGTTACTGGTCTCATAGGCGTCGGAACCGGGGGGGGGGCTAGGGGAGCTTATCCCCCACCCACTTTTTTTGCAAAGATAGACATTATATAGGCATTGAACACTGGGGCGTAGGTTTAGCCCCCCCCCCCCCCCCACACACTTTCAACAGGGACATTGCAGTTTAATCAAAGAAGGGTAAGTGGTAGCGTTTTAAAAAAAAATTTGGCACCGAGAGAAGTTCGATCCTAACCCTACCACCCCTAGACGAAATAGGATTTTTGGGTTTGGACAATTTTCATTTCTTTTTTTTTTTTTTTTTTTTTTTTTTTTTGCTTGTCAGGTTTGAAATTTTTTCTCTTTCAATTATAGCCCCCCACTTTTAATTTGCTTTCGACGCCTATGGGTCTTACACTTATCGCTACCAAAAGTTCACTTTATTTGGAAACCGGTAAATTGGGAACCTTTTGAAAATAGAAAAAATCGAGCTAATCTGGTAACAATGTACAAAATGCACAACAATTTAGTACCTTACATTCAAAATATAGTATCTGATATAAGAGGCGACATTTCACAATACTCTACTCGAAATTCTTCCAACTATTCCTTGCCAGATTAGAATTATTCAATAAATCTTTTATTTCGGACACAGAAGGTGGAATGCAATTAATTAATTTTAACACAAGGGAGACAACTTCCATATAAATGTTTCAAAAACATTTTCGTCGAGCAATATTTGTAAAACCTCCAAGTTATTGCTCTTATGGCATGGCCGTAGGAACCGGGGGGGGGGGGGGGCTCGATAAAACCGTCTGATGACCTTTTATTTTCTTTGTCTTTTTTTTTCTTTTTTTTTTTCGCTTGTCAAGGAATTTTTGGTAGTCGATAGTGCAACCTCAGCTGAAAATGTATGGCTGTCCCCCCCCCCCCCCAACTGAAATTTCTTCCTACGGGCCTGTATGGAAAGAGATTTTGGAATATTATTCACACAAGGTTGAGGCATATTTGTATTTTAAACTTTGACCCATTTCCCTGTAATTCAATAGACAGTCCAAACTGCTCATGGATGTGAACGATTAGAAGATTCATACCATTTTTTTTTTTGTTTTTGTTTTTGTTTTTTTTTTTTTTTGTTTTGTAGAAAATATGCAACAGCAAGACATCTGATGAGTAATTTATTATCATTCAACATTTTGTACATTAAAGATGTGCATTTGCTGCTGGAGTGTTGATTCATTCTCTGATCAACAAAATGTAGAATTTTTTAAAAGTTATTCAAACTTTAAAAAAAAAAAAAGAATGTGGTAGATTTTCGATGATATATATATTGCGTATCAAGAATTTTCAGTCTTTGACACTACTAATCGATTTCTACTGAAAATATTATTGCAATTTTATAAAATTCTGTATAAGGCCGAAAAGACTATCTATGTTGTAGAACTTGTGTCTTATCCTTTTGACTTTGTCAATAAAATATGTTCATTTCAATTCATATTTCATAATTATTGGATTAAATTACACAAAAACTTGAAATTCAATAATTCCAAGTTGTTCTCCTGGCACCAGCACTTAAATCACTTTGTGACTTAGGATAGCTCGTCGTCGTCAAAAACTAAATAGGGTAGCTTCGGTGACCTCACTTTGACATGTGTAACACAGGGTCTTGAGACAAACTGAGCGAAAATTTCAATCTTCATTAGGATGCAAGCAGGACTGAAGGCGGGCACTGTATATCGATCGGGAACGATATTCTTGGTTATTTTGATTTCGGAATTCCTCTTGAATTTTCATGGTTGTTGAGTAAATGAGAAAATGTGCATGATGCTGAGAAGGTTTGAAGTATATTATTAGTAACTTGATGTCACCTACAAGTTTAGTAGAATTGTTAACACAATTTATCATTTTGTTTATGAAAAAAGTATTGATAGTGCAGCAAATTAAAAATGATTACGCAAGTTTTCTCACAGTTTGCACCATCAGCAAATGAACATGATGAACTTTAGAATATTTCATGCAAGTAAGCTTAGATGTTGAATTATAATTTTATTCTTACGTACATTATAAACCCATAAATCGATAAAATACACAAGTTTGTATGATAGTGCTATAAATATTCACATTGTTGCTGTTAGGTATGTAAACACGGAGTTGGAGTTATATCTCCTGGACTGATAGATGGCGCTGACTACGTTGATTGCCAATCAAACCTCACAGCGTATATTGGCGGAATATTCGCCTGTTGCTTACAACATTTGCGCCAAATCACTTTGTGTACACAGTTGCAGGAAGGACATAGGTTCATGTACAAACCTCAGGATGTTGGGTTCCGAACAAATAAAAAGGATCACAGAGAAAGGTATTTTAATTTCTTCTATATGACTGGAAAATAAATAAAAATGCATGAAGTAATGAAAGCATTTTCTACATTTTAATCATTGACGATTGAAAAAAAAAAATTAACGCGCAATTATGACTGAGACTATGAATCAGTGGCTTAAGCTTTTATCAAAGACATACCAAGGCATACATTTATGTATTTGCTTTTACTGAAATATAATGTCTTCTAATCTTTTGTACAAATTTTTAAAAATTATATGTATGTTGATATTGCACTTGAAATTCTCTCAATATTTTGTCTATAACTATCCATAGCTTGATATTGATACAATTCTACAAATTCAGAGCTGAATAGGCCAAGATAATTATTAATTATATCAGGGAGATCTACATCCAGTACTAAAAAATTTTATAGCATTCAAGAGAAGGAAATACAAAGCATATAGCCAAATACAAAATCATGAAAAAACGCCATTCAGGTGTCCATCGACTTATTCTAAGGATGGACTGTTGTTTTCAGGTGCGTAGCTAGGCATACGCAAGTGCTTCCACATCATTTTCGAAAAAAAGAATAATAAAACAAAAAAATTAAATCCCATCATAAATCAGGCAATTCTTTTTCTTCTTTATCGTTAATTTCATGATGAGGAAATAAGCATTTTAAATGTTGAAACTTGGATGATTTTAATGTAACCCTCTTTTGGATACTCGAAATTAAGTGTCAAAAATGCTGACTCGCCAGCTTCTGGGGGGGGGGGTCGCCCTGGACCCATTGGGGGCATTAAGGTGGCCCCTAAACCCCCTGACTTGATTTTCTTCCACATTAAGCACCCCCTAGCTACGCCCCTGGTTTTAATATTTTGTATATTGTGCCTACCACCACCTGCCAATATGATTGTTGGCAGTACCAGGCACAAACAACCAGAAGCATGACTGGAAATGAAAAAAAAAAGGATGGAGAAGGGGGGATGCTACCAAACCTACACTAGGGATTACATTTTTCTAATATCTTGAGCAGGGTTCACTTTTTTTGGGGGGGGGGGTGAAAGATGATGTTTTAAGTCATTTCTAGCATATTGTAACTAAGTTTCATAATGCAGAAAAACTGGACTTTTAAAAATTTAAAAAAGTGTGTTGTGGAAGCCATTTTATTCAAATATGTTATTGAATAATTTTCAGATATTTTATTGAATATTTTGGCCGGTACAATCACTATTTCAGCCGAGTAAAAGAACTAGGTACTTTTGAAAGGCCTGAGAAAATCCTTAAGGTGTAGACAGGGTTCTCACTAGGATTTTGCTAACTTGAGTCCCAGGACTCAAGATTTCTGAGAAGGTTGCGTCCTAGCTAAATTTATGCGTCCCAGAAAAATTATGTTGAGTCCCAACTAAATTATTGCAGTATCCTTCCATCCAAACATGAATAAAAATCTTTATCATTTTATCAGTTTGTTTACGCAATATTAACATATTCAAATATATAAACTGGTAATGCATTCAAGCCATATATTCTAAAATACACGCGTAATCGATTGCCATAAAAATTAACTTGGTGTTTATAAAGCTAAAATTAACTGTTGAATAATCAACTAGTATACAATCACAGGTGTCATGTGCAATGAGGCATAACTAATCCTGTCGGTTGTCTGCACTGGGTGAAATTCATGAGATAATCACGCCGCATTGTGTATACAAGCAGTAATTATGGTTTCTACATGTAGATAAAACTCAAGATTACGAAAAAGCTGCAGTGTGTTTACAGCTGTCGGAGTTTGGCATGTGATACTAAATTATAACTATGGACTAATAAACATGAAATATCTAATAATCAATCCCTTTTTTTTTTTCTTTTTTTTTTAAAAAAGAGACATAAGTACAAGAAAAGTTGTTTCTTTGATAAACTTTATGATATTAACAAGAATGTTTCGATTTAATATTTCTTTGACATCTTAATTCCCCGTTTTCGAAATCACCCGAATTTTCTCGCTAACGAGGACGCGCCCACTCATGAGTCCGCGGACGCATTGTTTTTTAGAAAATTGCGTCCCAAGTAATTTTGCTGCGTCTATGACGCAGATTCTTGCGTTAATGAGAACCCTGGTAGAGTGTATTTGCTTGAGCATATTGCTCTGTGGTGCTATATGTATGTAGATTATTTATATAAAGCCACAATACTCCACTTCTTACTGGTAACAATGTTAAAAACAGTCTCATGAAAATCACTGAAATATCTAGGTTTTTTTTTTTTTTTTCAGTTTTTCAAGATGAAAATATTCGAAGGATTTTACCGAAAGGAAGATTATTCACAGTAAGTTAGTAAAACATTGAATTAAAAAAGCCACATATTTAATGATAATTGGATCTGATTCCTCAAAATATACAACATTGTCTGTTTGTTTGACTTGGGGTAGTTTGAGCGAAATTTTTGTGAAACTAGTAATAATATAAACAAGTGGTATCATATATCGAGGGTATTTCACTGTCTTTCCATTCGTTTAAAATATTTAAAAATGTTTCAAAATTAATATTTTCAACTTCTGTAAAAATAATCAGTGGAGATGTTGATGAAACTTTTTAAGTTTGACTATTTCTTGCAGGTGTCTGTGGAGGGAAATATTGGGAGTGGGAAGACAACTCTTCTGGAATATTTTAAAAATTCGCCAAATGTAGAGGTGAATTACATTTATGTTTGAAAGTATAATGGCAAAGGCCGGAATTGTTCAGAACATAAAAGAAGCTTAATAAATTCCAGCTTGGGTGTTGAAAGATCTTAAGCTTTACATATATGTTGTAGGCAATAAGAGAATAACATATATATTGTAGGCAGTAAGAGAACCAGTGGAGCAGTGGACTAATGTACAGGGACATAATGCACTGGTTTGTAGTGGTTTGATATATATAAGTTCTGTAATTTTGTGATTAGACATTACATCATTACTGAGGAGAAATCCATCGTCAGAACCCACGGGTATTCTCTCCGTTACACTACGTTGAATGTAGTGTAACGGAGAGAAAACCAGTGGGTTCCGACGATGGGAGAAATCCAGAGTAATGTGAAAGTGAGAAAAAAATAATCATGATAATTAAATTTCAATGTAAAGAAAATGTGTTTCTGATGTTTGACAATGACGAGGGTTGATTTTTATTTACTCCAACAGAAACTGCTTTATGAAGATCCTAAGAGATGGAGTTTCACGTTTAACCTGTATGCCCAACTGACAAGAATCCAGATGCATGCCAAACAAACTGTATGTTTAGTATAATAGCATTCTTTTAATTGTTCATACATTTGCAATGAACATATTTCAGCTATTTTCAGATATTACTAAGTCATAATGATTGTTAGTAGAAAGAATGTAGGCAATTGTGTTAATTTGAAAAATTGCTTGTTTTCTGTTTTAACATTTCTTCCTTCTGAAAGATATGGATAATGTGAAAGATAAACATGTACATGTAAGTGGGTCAAAAGTATGATTCACCAAGTTCACATAAATTTTCTTGTTCATATTTCAGGAGAAGCCAGTCAAATTATTAGAAAGGTCCCTTCACAGTACAAGATACTGCTTTGTGGAAAACTGTTACAGAGAGTGAGTAGTATTGTTTTCTATGATACATGTGTATAACTTTATAAGATACAGATAGTAAATATTGTTATAAATGCATTCTCTGTTAATATTTGGTATACATGTTTTCTACAGGCAGGTGATTAATGGTTTAGAGTATACAATACTTAATCAATGGTTTGACTACTTGACAAAGAAAGACAATACTGGATTGGACTTAATAGGTAATACATTGCCAATAATTATTAAAAAAAAAAAAAACACTAAAGACTAATTCTTTAGGTTTTAGACCATAAGATTTCTCTTGATGTTAATCAGTACAGTAACCCATTTCCCAGAATGATCCACATATTTTTTGTTTTCCTGTTTTTTCTTTTCTTTGTCTTTTGTAAAGTTTTCTTAGGTCAAATGTTCAACAGTGGAGACTGTAAAGTTAATTTTTCCTTTCAGTGTATCTGCGGGCAGATCCAGATGTGTGTTATGAAAGAATCAAGAAGAGAGACAGGAAGGAGGAGGCATCAGTACCAATGGTACTTTTTTTCTTCATCAATTCTTGGTGAAATACAGAAGATCCTTTCAGATTTTTAAGTTACTTTCTGGAACAAAAAGAGTGCAGGGTTTTAGATTAAATTTCTTTGAACGTTAGCATTACTAAAAGTTAAAAAAAAAAATTCTCAAACTATGTTCTTAAGAATTTTGTTTTTTCATAATTTGTCCAGATTCTATTATGCTGAGGACTTGCCTTAGATTGCAGATCAGAAACAAATCTTTTGATGCATTAATTTCAATTTAAAGTAATATATACATTGTATCTTATTATACATTAAGTAAGTATTCAGCTCATTTCCTGTAAACATGGTTATTTTGAGGGTTTCAAAATGTTATCAGTACGTTCTATTTCCACTATGGAAGAGTTATCCTTCTTAGTGCGTTCTTTTGTGAAAAAGTCGGAAAATGTACAAATCTCGCGGGATTTCTGGGACAAACGTAACGTAAACATGTAAACAATATGTTGAATATCGATGAACAAATCCTAAGAAAATGCAAATGAAATATTTTATTGTTGTGGACTTTATATACATCAAGAGTAGGGATGACAACGATATCAATTTATATCTATTGTTGATCGTATGTATCTATTTATCGTATGGTACATCTAAATACAATACACATGCCTCGGAAATGTCGTATTTTTTATTTATGGATGATAAATTTAGGGTTCTCGCTCTCTTACATATGTCTTTTAGTTCTCCTGTTCTTTAATTGGAATGACAAATACATTTTACATTAAAAATTGGATTGAGATTGTCATGTTTTGTATTATCCGCTACGCCAAGCTGTCCCTGTCAGACGACCATACGTGCCTCTAATTTTGAAGAGTTCACTAATGAAAATAGAACGTATTTGCTTAATCTCAAAGAACACTCTGGATTTTAATGTTAATGGGCCCATCAAGATTAAAATCCATGGGCCATATGCTAGGGGTGTGGGGGCCAGGTTATGCCTCCATTGGGCTTTGATTGATTTTTTTTTTTTAAGTGAATTGCCAGGGCTTTTTATTGATATTTCTAAAACAATCAGTTTCAGGTTTCAAAGTTGAATCTATTTCAATTCTTGAGGACAACCCTGCTGTTGACAACAAAGTAGTGATGAAAATATTAGTGATGAACATATTACTTAGTAGTACATGTAATCAGTCAATTCTTCACCCTTTTGCAGAGTTAGAGAGAGAGCATCACAATCCACCAGAAAGTGTACTGTAAATTGTCAAATTTCAAAATCTACAGGACATTCATAAAATCTACATACCATGTCAATAAAATGATTTTTAAAAAAAAAACAAAAAAACAAAGATAGTTAAAATACACAGTTTTAATACTTGTAAAGACTTTTTTTTAATTACATATCATGTCATATCTTAGCCATTTAGTTTGAAGTTTATAAATTAAAAATGTTAATTCAAGGTAGGTCAGTAGAAAAATGAAATTAAAAAAACAAATATTTACAAGGCTAAGAAAAGCATGGATTTTGGTAGGACAAGTACTTTTATGATGGAAATCTCTCTGAGGGCAACTAGTGTGAAATTCTATGTCTACCCCTGCGTGTTGAAATATATGTGCAGATAAACTTAGGGTTCATTCTAATACACATTATAGTGTAATACATATGTACCAGAAAGACGTGCCAGACTGACTAAGATTAAAATGTATTTTAATAGAAAAACTGTTCTTTGGGTTCTTAAGTATATTTATATCCCCGCTCCGAAGGACAGGAGGGTATACCGTTTTATTAATTTTCATTTAATTGTTAGATTTTGATAAATGCTCTAAGACGGAAGTCATTGTATAGGTCTGTGATGTAAATTTTGACATAAAGTTCAATAACTGTTACATATACTTTCAGAATTTAATACAGGACCTACATGATCTCCATGAGGAATGGTTAGTTCAGCAGAAATACTACAAAGCTCCTGCACCTGTTCTGGTTTGTATCTTAGTTTAATGTAAATATTTTAAATGTACGTTGAAGAAAATCAAATTTGTGCCCAAGATAAAACCCTTTGAAATACAACTCAAGTAAAAATATTTCATCTCTATAAAAAAAAAAAAAAAAAGTGATACTTTGAGAAATTATCCAACCATAAGAAACAAAAGCAATTTCTGCAATGTTGAATCTCATGTGCAGTATTAAATTAGTATTCAGATATTACTGTACAGTGTATGTATGTTTCCCAATGAACTGAAATGAATAAACATATACTTAAAAAGAAATTCACCATTATAGGTGTTAGATGCAAATTGTGAATACCGTAAAATGACAGAGCTGTATGAGACTAGGCGAGAGGAAATCCTATGTGGTTATGTATGATGACGTCTTCAGGATAGATTCGCTCTGTGGATATAAGGCTGTACTTCCTATTCTAAGGCAGCCCTGGAGCGGAATGGAAAAGAGAGTTCTTAGACTGTATACTGAATGGAATGGATGAGTGCCAAAATCGGAGTATGTATAAATGCAAGATACACTGGAAAGGATCTCAGAATGTGCTGGTCAGAGTTGTGTAGTAAAGGGACAAAAGTGGTGGTGTACAATAGTTGGAAAATGAAAGAAGATGGGTGAACAAGGCGTGCAGAATGCCTATAGCTTCAGATATCTATAAAATCATATTCAATTTGTGAATTAAGTATTCAAAATAAAGTTCTCATTATTGAAATTTATGAAATTATGATTAACAAAACTTTTCTGAGAAAAAAGATCTCGGACAAAATCATTCTTTTATTAAAAAAATAAAATGGTATTCATGGGATTCGAAACCCTATCAATAAAAATCCGGAGTATCATATTGTTTCGAGACTAACACGCTAACCACTACGCCACGCAGCTCCTGACGAACAGTGGCATTTAAATCATATTTGTGATATGACCCTTGACTTAATGGACTTCAAGTATTTCTCGGAAAGATGCGAATGCTTTGTCATAAAAGTGTACTTTTAAGGTATAGTGGGTCTTTGCTCCATGTTTTTGTAGACCAAAAAATGTATATTTTTATGCAAACTTTTAGGATCAACTTTTAAAAAAATGGAGCGAAGACCCACTCATATCGAAAAATTTTGTTAAGTGTGAAAAATGATCCTTTTTGTCCTCTTTAGTGTGTTTATGCTATTTCGTAGGCAAATAATTTCAGTCTTTGTGAGATTTTTGTAAATTGTAGAGATTTAGCATAAAATATACTTTAATGTTAGATGAAATATCAAAGAAAATTTTTATATAATTGAAATTTTATTTTTCACTTCATGTTTGTCGCACTATAGGCACTTCGCCCGCCTTGTTCACCCATCTTCTTTAGAATGGTAACTAAAAATGATTGTGTTCAGTTAAATACTTTAGAACCTTTCAGTTGAATTGTTTGATGTCATGAATTTTTCTTATACCTCAAATAGTAGATTTTAATTCAGTGTACACTTAAATTGGGTTTTTAGAATATTTTTTTATGGCATGAACAGTTTTTGATTCCTATATGCCAGGTGTGTTCACAATTAATGTTGTTCCCAAATATAACTCAGGTGTTTATTTGTGATATTATACCTCACATTTTTTCTATATATGCTTGGCAATAGTTTGATCTGATAATTTCAATGGAAGTGAAATATAGTGAATGTTTGGTGGGAAGACTATCATCACTTCATCAGCTGTCTCATCCTTGATGCATTTCTTCTCTCCCGAGTGAAAGATTGTATGGACATATGGACAAGTGTGAATACTATATCAACATATTGTAGTGCTTTAGCGTATTATAGTTACTGATTAAATGATGAGTGTTTTTCATTTTGTTATTAAATAAAAAATAATCCTGTGTGTACTGTTTGTAAGAAGGCCATGCCTGAATTATTTGAATATGTAGATAGAGGGACATTGTAAAGTATAGTAATGGTTTTATAGTATGAACTTGTTGCAAATTTTTTAACAAAACATTCTTTTAATTTTAGAAAGATTAAAAAGTAAGAAATTCTGAAAACATTTTATTTGAAATAATGGGTACCATTTAATATCTTGCCTAAATGTATGAAATGAAAGCAATTGAGTGTAAAGTAGATTATTTTACTATTTTATATTGATGTTAAAGTATTCAGATAGCACAAAATTTTAGTTCAAAGTAGTTTGGGCATTTGCTTTTCAAAGTCAGTGTTCATTACTTTATACTGTTCATGATATTTACTGTATGTTCAGTATTTATTACATTAAATATTTATTGAAATGTATACTTTTTTCATCTTTTTTTATACGCCCGTCTTAAGACGGGACATATTATGTTATGGCGTTCATGTCAGTCCGTCTGTCTGTCTGTTAGCTTTTCTCATGTCCGGCTCATAACTTAAATACTATTAGGCCTAGAATTATCAAACTTTGTCAGCTGATACTTCTTGGGTAGAAGGTGTGTCACGCATTAAAAGTAGGTCGCTGTGACCTTTAATTAAGATACTATGGCCAAATATGGAAAAATCCTGTCCAGCTCATAACTAGAAAACTACTAGACCTAGATTCATCAAACTTGGCCAATTAATGCATCTTAGGTAGAAGGTGTGTCGCACCCTACTTCAAGGTCACTGTGACCTTTAAGTGAATTTTTTTAAAAATACGTCTTTTAACTTTTAAATCACACAATCCCAAAAATGTAAGAGTATTGCAGTATCCTTATTAAAACAATGTTAAATCAAGAAAATACTTATTTTTTTCATGATATACTTTACAGCAATCTATAACAAATGTAATGTTATAAGAGAAATTCCACCTCTCCCCATGGGTGTAATTATCAAGCAACTGGTCAAGGAGAATTTGATAACAGAAAATTGCATGTCAAATTAGAGAGAAATTAATGAGTTTAGTGTGAGGAGATAACTGGTAGAGCATCTCTGATCAAGCAGATGTTATCTTTATCTCTTGGGAATTGGGCAGAAGAATCAGCTTCTTATTGCTTGTGTTGGATTAAATAATTTTTGGCAACTAGCCCCTTAACTTTCAAAATAAATTTGGTGTAAAGTAATTAAAACTAATTTGATATTGTATAATATAATTAAAACTAATTTGATGTTTTATAATATAATTAAAACTAATTATACCCGGGGGGGGGGGGGGGGTGCATATTGGAATCAGCATGTCCATCTGTCCATCTGAATTGCAGCTTAAAACCAGTCATTAATTTCAAAAAAATCACCAAGTATCAAAAATATGCTTTATGGTACATGTACATAGTACCTACAAATCTAAGAGTCATGCAGTAACCTTATTAAAAATGTTGCATCAAGATTATACAATTTTTTTTTTCAAAATCTTTGCAACAAATTCTTAAAAAAAAATTAAAAATATTTGTTTTCAACAGAATGACATAACTATGCATTTTATTGCGACTGCAAAGCAGAAAGTGCAGATACATTCATCCCTTGGGAGTAATGAGTGGACATGCATCCAGTTAAAGATTAATTAATGTGTTCAATGTAGGAAGGCTAGCTGTCTCAATCACTTCTGTTAGAGCAGCTCTTATCTGTATCCTTTGGGAAATAGGCAGAACTGCTGGTCTCTTTCTTAATTGTAGTTGATAGCAAACTATGTCACTTGATGGCCACTTTCAAAATTAATTTAGTATAGATTAAGTTGTTAAGACTAATTTGATATTGTTTAATATGATATTTTTATTTATTTATTTTTTTTTTAAATTTTCAACAAACAAATTTCAGAGTATCATGTCACAAATATAAAAGATGGTTGCAATCCATCAATTTTTACAGAGTAATAAAAAACAATATAATGATTAATATTTTGAAGTTTTATTAGGCTGCACTAGCTTAGCTAAGTTGTAATTAAATTTTAAAAAAAAATCGGGGGGGGGGGGGGGATGAGACGAGTCAATTAAATGCCCACGCCCATTTTGCGGCGTAATATTTGACGGGCGTATCATGCTGTGGCGGGGCACTTTATTTTTTTTTAACAGTGTACAAGTGTATGAGAGAGGCCTGTGATTTTTATTTCATATTTATGACAAGGGATTTCACAGAATTCATAAACATAAAGATTGGTCTGTGCTTTTTTTTTTTTTTTTTTTTGCCATACATATATGTACACGCAAGAATCGTCAAATTGGACAATTTTTAGTAATCATTTACTGGCTTAATTTTCCGACTGAGTACCCGGTTACCTGGATGACTTCGTTACAGTTTCCATATCTTTTATTTATCTCATCCTTTACTTCTCAGAAGAAATAAAACACAAATGTACTGTATATGAACTTTATTTACAATTACAAACTCAAACACACACACAATATCTTCAAAGAATTTTGATCATAGATGTCACTTGAAAGGGGCAGTTTGTTTTTGTTTAAGAAAATCATTTTATTGACACACAAGGACAAACCATTTCGCATGCAGCTTGGTGATGATATTTCCTGCCATAGAGAATATGCGGTATTGAACTAGCTGGAATGGCTAAGAATTGTTGAGCAAGAATGGAATAATGGGGATATTTTAACGAATTTGTCTTCCACCGTTGGAACTGATCTGTGTTGGTGTCCACTCATTCCCTAAGATATAGATCAATTTCCGATTCATTTGCACACTTGTTCATTGTCAATTAAAAAGTGGCATATATTCGTCAATATATGTTGCGATCGAGGAGAATTAACATACACCGTTACTGCTAGTTGTTTTTGTGAAGTGTTCAGTAAATCACTGGTTCCAAATTGTGTTAAATCTTAGGTGAATTAACAAATTTGTAGTCCCACCCAGTTATATGATAACTCCAATTCATATAATTTACATTTTACATATTTTGAATCAGCTGTTCTTTTAAAATACTTCCAAGCTTTAGATGTCTTGTTAATTATGTTCCTCTGACTAGCACAGGTCTAAATGAGGTACTCATAACTCAGGTCCTCAAAACTTGTATACTCCTGGGCAATTCAAAGCTATCAATTATATAAACTGGGAAAATTAAACAAATCGATCCTATTTGTGAACCACTGGATAGAGTCTAACAATAATAATAATCAGGGAAATGTGTAAGTATATAAATAATATAACATTTATTTTGTACATATTTACTATTTGTAAAAGTGTATTATGACAAGAATGAAAGTTGTTTAAAAGATCTTTTATTGAAAAAATATGTAAAATATCGACATTTGAAAGACCTCAAATAATCATGTGATACAGTTTCCACAAAAAACATATCTACTTTATCAATGAAGTACATGCATGTTGGCAATGCAGACTTACCTTGCATTGGAGCAGGTATCTGAAGTTTTTATAAAGTTGACCAAAGTAAGTTATAGAACAAGTTATGGCTGAACCTGGAATCAAACCTTGGACCCCTGCATTACTATAGTCAGGTGCTCTAACCTCTTAGCTACCCAGGCCAATTTCGAGGAATAAATGAGTGGTTCACAATAAAGAGGCTCGACCAGAGATGCCTAAAATGATTAATTTGACAAGAAAAAAGTCCTTCGAAGCGAATGATGTCATTTTAAAGTAGGTTAATGATTGATATATTAACAAAATACGAGCTTGAAGCGGGGTGCCTGAAATTGAGTTAGGTACCTTGTGTTAAAAATAAGTAGGGGTGCCCCGTATACGAAACAAGTGCCTGTGCAATATCATGGTCCATATAGCCCAAACCTATTTTACAACAGTAATTAGGCCTCACAAGGATTTGCAGGTGCCCTATAGTAATATTTCTATTCGTCCCTCCACAAAATGTCTTTTTTTCTAATAACTTCTTTTACAGTTGTCCCTACTAAGTTCAAATTTAGTGTGTTGGTTGATAAGGCAGTTAGACATATTTTGATACCAATTTTGATTCTGAATCTCATTCGGTTGGGAGCTAGGGTGGTGGGGTAGATTCCTAATTCCATAGCTACCATGTATACTTGTATGTCAAAGCAACCACAATTTTTTTTTTCAACAAAAATAATAAATTTATTAAACACTAAATTAATTAAAAACAACAACAAAATTCTTGATGAAAGAATGTATTATGTTCAAAGACCCATTCTAATACTCTTAGATATTTTTTTATGGAGCTTCAGGGGGATTCTTTAACCTGGACCTGCTGCTGAGGGGGTGGGAGGCTAATGTGGCATCAGACCCTCTGCAGTCAGAAAAGCATCAACATTATTTTTGTCTAGCTATGCCACTGTAATTTATAGGAACATTGTCATCAGTTATCTCTCTTTGTCCATTCAGTCATATATTGTAAACTGAAAGCTGCAACGATTCCATTGTGATTAATTAACTTGCCTGCTGCAGAAAATCCAGGGCCTAATCTTTATCTGTTGCATAAAGATTAATTAACATCCTTGTCTGCAAGTGATGTTTATTCTGAAGTCAAGCCTGTCTGTCTTGTCAAGCCTGGGTAATGTTTGCAATCACTGAAGGGTGATCATTTTTTGAAGTGTAGAATTTCAATCTGGTTCAAATACACATTTTATTGCAATTGAAAGGGAAAAAAATATTAAAGATATACATTCTTATTGCTGCCTATTATAAATTCAAGGACACTATTAATTTTTACAGGTAGTTGGATAATAACCTCATTTTGTAATTGCTGAAAGTCCTTATGTTGTAGACTTGGAATAAGAATATGAGACAGCAGTAAAATGAATCCCCTGGGATTATTTATCTTGCCTGCTACTGAAAATCCAGAGGCTAATCTTAATCTCTCATATTATGATTAATTACTAGCATTACCTCTGTCTGCAAGTGATTACCGGTAATCTATTCTGAAATTAAGGTCAAGCCTGGGTGATGTTTGCATTCGATCACTAAAGGTTTGGATTCTATAATTATGCATACTTCAGTTGGTTCAAACATACATTTAATTGACTTTTTATTTTTATAAGATATGTTTGAATGCCTTTAGTAAGTTAACAAGGATACTATCAATTACCCACAGATAGCTGGATTATAACCTCATTTTTCAGTTAGGAAATATCTTTAAATTTCATAATTACAGTTGCTGTTTCACATTCTTCTTCATATATTTTAAAATTTCCTTTGCATTTTTTTCTTTATCGAATTATCATTAATCCATCCCTTATGCACCCTTAGATGTATATCCATCTGCGGGGCCCTTGCTGACTGGTCAGTTTTCTTGCTGATCCCTACATAGTAGCTTTATTGGACAGAGCTTCAGAAATTCCTTTCATTTTTGAAAAGTTTAAAAGGTTATGAACTTTTAAGACTTCTTTCACATGCATGTATTTCAACAAGTGGTACTTCATGAAAAGTTAGCCTGGATAAGAAGTCTATGAAAATGATAGACATTACCAATATTATGTATTGTTTTAATTCCATTGCATTTGCATTGAAAATCTGTGGAAGGATTACTTTTCTGATATTAGCATGAAATGTTTTGAACTGCTGGTTCTATGTAAGCTTCAGTTATTGTGACATCTTTACTGTTCACAGAGGAGGACAGACCCGTAGGAAGCAATTTCAGTTTGCAAGGGGGGGGGGGCACAACCACACAACCTTATCTTTTCAGTTTTGGGGGGGCACTATCAACTACCAAAATTTCCTTGACAAGCAAAAAAAAAAAAAAGTCATCAGACCTTATTACTGAGGGGACACAAACATATAGTAGCTACATTTTCTATAGTATTCTATATATCAGCAAAATTATTTGGGGGGGGGGGGGGGGGCTCAGCTCCCTTTGTCCCCCCCCCCCCTCCTATGGCCATGGAGGATTATGGGTGATTCATTGTAACTGCTAACTGTGTGATGCTGAAGGAGTTGAAACATTGCAATGTAAATATGTGATTATAAACAGAGTAAAACTGAAACATTATTCAAAGTAACATTTTATTGAAATAAGACAGTAAATCACGAACCAACCACAGGAAAATTCCTTGCATTATGAACAATAACAATGGTGTCTTAAAAATTATTCTTAAAAAGTGCATAATTAATCACAGTCAGAATATCACAGTGGTTATAAGGAATGTAAACAAAAGTGCCCTCCTCACATACATGATTGTATTACTTATTTGTAACTTTTATTTTTAATTTCTATCACACAAATTAATATTTTACAAAATCACAGGATCTCTTTTATATAGAAAATCTTTCAAGTCTGTGAAGAACATACTGCCTTAAGAAATTAAATGTGTAACTGTTTAATACATGATAATTTGACATAAAATTAATAGTGATGTACCAGAGCACCTTTGCCAATATTGATTCCATACTATTCATATTTTTAATGCATTGAGAAGGAAATGCATCTATGTACAGATCAATCATGAAAAGAAATGCATCTTCATCAAAATCAAGTTTGTGAACGAGAAATATTTGCATAAGACTTTGGGTACATGACATAATACATTGCAATGGACTAAAATATGTACCATCAATATATATGCAAGAGCTCATAAATACATCATAGTAAGAGTTTAGTCAAAAACCAGTATATTAGACCTTTTTACAAAAGACTAGACAACTCCTTGAGTTATCTTCCCTTTAGGAACACCTCAGTGCCTGTAACGAGTTCTCTATCGCAGTATCAGCTCCAGCCGACAATGAATCCTCAGCCCTCTGTAAAACACAAATATCAAATCTGAGGAACCTTTAAGAATTTTGATGTTCATCAAACTTGCACAGTTTAAAAAATAAATTAATTTAGTTTCATACATTTTATAGGTATAAGCTTAATTAAAAAGCTATATACTTGGTACCTAATAAAGGTATCCTGATCATAGGACTGAACACACAACAAACAAAAATATCATTATAAAAAGTCAGAAATTAGGATTTCTTGGATATGTATTTAAAAGCAAAATTATGATTTAAATGACAATAATTGTAGGCCAAGAAATAATTTTCTTTGATTCTCCTGCAAAACTAGACACAGATTAGAAAGATTATGTCTTCTGAAGCACACAATTGTAATGCCACATCAAGTAAAAGAAAAAGAAAGCATTCAAAATCTCAATCTCTGTTTCCGTTATATACCTATTAATACTAGTAGTTTCCTGCTTAATAATTTGTCACATTTCAAACAAAACACAGTCACTAAAAGCTCCTTTGAACACACCAATAGTTAGATATTATTTGATTTGAATGAATTTTTTAAAATACATGTATATTTTGTTACTTTTAGATAATTTCAATGATCAATATTATTATTGAATAGACTTTATATAGATCTGCCAATACTTAGTCTTAACCTCCACAAGGAGACATGCTACAGTTATTAAATTTTATAAAATTCAGTACATTAATTTAATTGCAGATACATGTATTAACTTATAAAGACCTAGTACTTGAATCAATATACGGTCATCACCACATTTTGTGTGACAACGCATTCAGAGTCTGTTCTATAATAACTGCTGGTTCGGCTGAATCTGACTCTAGATCTTTCTGCAAGAAAACATATATACATACATGGATATTTCATTATGAGTGAGGAATTTTAAAACTTGAATTTTGTTGTTCGAGAATAAAAATCTTAAAAACACAACAGGTCATAATTAAATTCCACAATGCTCAGCTGACTGACATTTCTTTTTCTGAATATCATCTTCACTAGCCAAAACACAGTAGAAATAAACCAAAAAAAAAAAAAAAGATAAAAAAATAACAGAATGCATTTAGTGTTTATTCATCCTTAGAAGACAGGCAGGCAATGGCAGACAGACAAATGGACAATGGATAAAATTTGATCTGAAAAGCTCACATGAGCCTCAAATTGAGCAAAAAAGATGTTAAATTCAGTGCTCCAAGGAAATATGAACAATGCAGTGGATACGGGTATATATGGATGATTATATGCAGACATTTTTAGGCATGTGCTTAATCTAAGCAGTGATATTACAGGATAAATATTTTTAAAAAATTCTTCAGTGGAAGGGAAAATTATGGATTATGATTAAAATTTTCATCAAAGAGAAAAAATGTTTCATGGATGTCAGGCTCATTGTGAGGTTGATATATGATATACAATCTTATACAGTAAAAAACAGATTACAACAAATCTCAGAGGGCAGCCACGACTGCTTCCATGCATCTATAATCTATTATGCCAAGTAAACATAGAAATACTTGAGTTTGTGTACTTTACTATGCATTGCCAATTGTACAAATTATTTTGACTGATATTTTACATAAGTTTAAAGGGTTGGTAAAAAACTGTTGTAATATTATTATAACGATTTTATACTAAGTTAATAAGTAAAGCAGAAATTGAACCATTTTGCTATAAACCATTAAGAACATTATTTAGAGCATATAAAGTCAATTTTCCCTCTTTGGTTACCCTTTGCTTGGATCTTTTTATAGAAAATAACCAAGTCTGGGTTCCCTATAAAATGTGATAGAAAATAATGCAAACCAAGTTCATTATAAGATGTGTTTTACTGTACTCATTTATCGGAAAAGTATTTGTGAAATGTAATGGGTGTGTTTTTAATGATAGTGCTTTAAATAAGAAAATATTATAAGATGAGATCATCTGTTAAGAACTTTACCTCCTGCTCGAGTATGATGAGTTCTGTTAACCTTTTGACCTCCTTTGGATTAGACAACAATAACTTCTCTAATTCTCTGTGTCTCTTGTCTGCTATTCTATTTCTCATCATTGTCTCAACATGCTCCTTAAAGTTCTTTTCAATAAATCTACAAATTAAGATAGAAAAACAAATAATGAGAACAATTTTTTACAAACATATACAATACAATCATCTGTCCATATAGAGGTTCCAGTGTTCCTGGGATTTACAATGTCAGTTTTCTACTCACTCGTCATACTGCTTCTCTATATCCCTGGCTTTCTTGAAAGATTCTCTTATTACATCTCTATATGTTGGTGCATCCAATGTAAACCAGAGTTAAGGCACATGTGTGGAACAAGTTTAACTTTTTTTTTAAACTACTCAAGGACATTCAGCAGGAAAATTCTTACCAAGTTAAAAATTAACAGTCATTTACCAAAATTTTTAAAGTTTTGTTTTTTTTTTTTAAAACAATTAACAACAATCAGTGACACATCATTTTGAGTTGATTCTTTGTTTTTTCCATATTTTTTTAAAGATTTTTTTTCATTTCATTTTTTTTTATTATACCATTAAGAAATATCTCATTTGATTGTTTTTCCTTCATCAAGTTTTATTGACACAAATTGCATGGAAAAAGATATGGAGGTAAGTTTTGTATTTCTGTTCGCTGTACCAGGACGTCTGTGCCAGCATCATACTGTAGTCCCTTCATCCTTAAAAAGTGTACCACCAGGGGGCTCTGTCCATTAATGTTAAAAACAGACTTCACATAGTCTGGACCTCCACAAGCTGGGTGGGACTAGAAGTAAGTAAGGTAAACAAGTTTCCTTGATTAGTTGACAAGATTTAAAAATTCATAAAACATAAAAAATCTTTAGATAATATGCTCACATATGCTTCAGAAAGAATTCAGCAAAAACTTTGCAATATACATGTAACCAAAATGATGATATAAAAAATAAAAGTTGCTATAACATTTAACTTGTTGCGAGACCTATGTCAACTTCACCAACCAAGTCATAGTGTTTACCTCGCACAACTTCCTGCCTGGAACTTTTGTGGGGGCCTTGGTCAGAGCGACAGACACAGTGGATGTTTTGTCCCCTCTGTGTGTGTCCAGCTGTTGAGCGTCCTCTTCATATGTTGTCTCTCTAATTGGAGTCAATGCATCTCGTAATTTCCTAGGATCCACCGCACGTTCCTTCCCCATCTGAGACCCAGATGGAGAGGGCTTTTTTCCATAACCTCCCAGTCTCTGATTTTCTGACACATAGTCAATAATGGCCCCATCATGGGAGGATCCCGGAGACTGGAGGTGCTGTTTAGATGAGATTGAAACAGAGCTCTGTATACTGCCACGTCTGTTCAGGCCTCGTGAGAGTTTTTTCCCTCGGCGACCCCCGAAGCTCTGCATTGAGGACTTTGACATGGATTGGTTTAAAGAAGTGGTGGAGGTGTACTGACTGGCATTACTGGAGAATAGAGAGTCCAGGAAATCAAAATTTAAGGACATGGATGCTGAAAATAAAGAATTATATCAATATAATAATTTTATATTTTCAAAAATGAACACACCAATTTTAAGCTCAATATTTTTTTTTCTCATGCAAATATAGCCAGCAATTTCTTTTCACAGAAAATGTTTAAGAGGAAATAAAAATGCAAATGAAGAAACTCATGGTCACATTGCTCACTGGAGTCTAATTTTACTATTCATTTTTTTAAATTATAAAAAGAATGTAATCTGATTAGTGCAAAGTCTACTTCCTTGGGGCTCTCTATACAAGAGTTGTAAAGTATGAAAACAAATTCATGTACAATAATTAGGGCCCCGCTCTGCAGGCACCCTATAGTGATCAGTCTGTCCGTCCGTCCGTCCTTCTGTGATCTCTTGTCCGGAGCATATCTTCTCTCTCCTTAGCTCAGTCTGGCTCATACTTCACCCACAGAGTGCCTTTGGGTAAAGGGTGTGCAGTGACCTTGAACCATGTTTCTAGGTCTAAGGTGAAGGTCATAGCAGAATTATATGAAAAATCCTTGTCTGAAGCATATCTTCTCTCCCCTTGGTCCAATGTGGCTTATATTTCACTCACTGCCAGTTGTCAATGAATGTGCAGTGACCTTGAACGAAGTTTCTAGGTCAAGGGTCAAGGTAAAAAAAAGCCTCTCTGTTTAAAATCTTTGTTCGGTGCATAATTTCTTTCCCTTAAATCCAGTCAGCCTCAAACTTTACCAATTGACTTAGGGTATGGAGAATTTGTGATTTTCCTTCCATATTTTGATAGAGGATATGCAAAATTTTCATAGAAGATATGCAACATTTGTGATTTTTGTGACGTTTTTTGATAGAGGGTATGGAGCACTCGTGATTTTCATGCCATTTTTTATTATAACAAGGATGACATAGAAGCCCTTTAGACTCAAAACACATCCCTTAATAGTACACAAATATTCCTCTTCAAAATAAGCTCTTTTCAGCTACCTTACATTTTCATGTCCGTTGCTGAAAGCGGGGCCCTTTGAGATGGCCACCATCTCAATGATATCTAGTTTAAAATAATATTACAAGACGTTAGTGAAATACATGTGGACAGTATAAATTACTATATGCAGGGAAATTTTTGCCCCATTTTATTTTGGCCCCTTTTGCCCTCATGGGCGAATTTAAAATGGGGCAAATTAAAAAAAAGACAGCATTACATCCTTGACACATTACTGTGTCTGAGCAAATTTAAAACAGGGCAAAATTGTTTGCACTGTTAAATGACGGAAAATAAAACAGGACGAAAATAATCATGTATACAGTACATTGGACATTAAGAAAACTTGAATGGGATTGACAGTTAAATATTAAGAAATATGTCCTGGCAGATGATAATCTGTTTTTTAAAATAGTTTTCACAAGTTGGTAAAACTGTACATGTAAAAGTAAATTGTTCCATAAATGAACACAGGAATTTTAATTTTCTTTAAATTTCAATTTATTTCCCATGGAAAGGGACTTCACATTTCTTTGAACAAATATGAATATGTTATCAAGTCTATTAATATAAGCAGACATATATTACAATTTGACAAAGTATTTAAAATGAATGTAAATGTAACATTTTCCTGTGTGTGTAACTTTGTAAAGTCTGTTCAGCTGTGGACATTGAAACTATAAATGTTTCATACACACGATTCCTGGAGATCACACGTCAGATATGCCCATCTTCTTTATGACGACAACAACAAAGACAAACAATACACAAATTTGATCAGAAAAGCTCACTTGAACCTATGGCTCAGGTGAGCTTAAAGATAAAAATATAGAGAGACTACACAGAATTCAACATACAAAAAGTGTCAAATTTTACTTTTTATCATTTCCTTATAGAGCAAGCACTTCTTCGAACAACCTTCTGTTGCAAGTTTAGTTAAAACCAAAATCTGACAAAATTGTGTAAAAATTAAAATTTAAGAACGTAAACACTCCAGATGCGTCCAAAACTTCTGCTTTTTGCAAAGATTTATTTGAAAATTATCACATGGTTTTTTTTTTTAAATGTAAGATATGCCTGACGTAAATGTCTGCCTGCACCTGCTTCCTTCCCTACAACATAAATTACGTAACTGGCAGATCAAAGATTTATTTTCTGTATGAAGAAAACACAGCAAAGTTTATTATTTGTGGACATTGATTCCGGCAGTTATTGTTTACTTAATATATCGAAATTATATTTTTTTAGCAGACTTAAAAAACAGTTTGAGACAATTATTATGTTTACATCAATAATATGTTACACTCAAACTTTTCATTAAGGATGGCAATTATATAATTCTTTTGAAAGATTGTTGTGTGTGACTTAGTGGTGATGCTTTAATTATTTCTGGGCTCAGTCTTCAGACATATTGAAAACCAAGTATTTGTACTGAACAATACCAGGCTTCCATTGGGGACTGCCCTGTTACATAACAGCTGTCAAAATAAATGATGGAAAATTGGCAACTAATATTGATGAAAAGCTTTCAATGATTGTAATTGAATTATCAGTGATGAGCCCATGAGAATTATGGATATATAAGATGTGTGAAATGTACATCATAAAATTTGATGAGATACTGCTACTCGATGTACATAATTACAAAAGAGAGAATGGGGCACAGTGGGTATGCAGTTTCTCTGATGACATTGCAATGCCTCATATGTTCCTGATGCACACCATGACACAATGCACTGACTATCAAAATAAAACTAGTCCTAGTCAGTTATACGAATTCAAAAGTTGTATAAATGCACCAATGTACTTACAAATACTTATCAGCATATAGTTTGATAAAATATGTTGAATAGTTTCTTTGAATCTGAACTAAACACTAAGTTTAAACTTTAAGAAAATTGAGGTCAGTATTGAAGAAAGCTATTCAAAGGCATCAACATTTTTTACTTTGACCTTTCCTTTGACCTGAACTTGCATTTCAAAAACTTTCCTCTCAGTTTCAAAGAGACTATCTAAGAGGTTTTTTTTAATCAAACCTTATATGCTGATACATATTTGTAAGAGCTATTCAACTTCATTTACATCTTTCTGACCTTGACCTTTACGTTGACCATGATCTCATTTTTCTTAAATTTGTGTTCAGCTCAGTTTCAAAGAAATTATTCAACATATTTTCTCAAATATCATATACTGATATATGTTGATGAGAGCTATTCGTGTTTTTTTTTTTTTTACCTTGACACTTCCTTTGACTTTACTTCACTTTTCTTAAATTAGAGTTTAGTTCAACATATTTTTATCAAACTTTATTTGAAGAGCTATTCAACTTCAGTAACATTTTCTGACTTTGACCTTTCCTTTGACCTCAACCTCATTTTTCTTAAATTTGTGTTTAGCTAAGTTTCAGAGAAACTATTCTAAATATCATAAGCTTATACTTATGGATGAGAGCTAGTCAATTGTGTCAACATTTCTGACCCGACCTTGGACCTTGTCATCACTTTTCTCAATTTTGTGTTTAGCTCAGTTTTAAAGAAACAAATCAAGATATCTTTATCATATATGCTGATACATGTTGGTGAGTGCTATTGATCTGTATCAATTTTTTTTAATCTTGACCTTCCCTTTGACCTTGACCGCGCTTTTCTCAAATTAGTATTTAGCTTAGTTTCAAAGAAACTACTCAAAATATTTTTATGTATAAGCTTAGTACTGATACAAATTTAGTGATAATTCATCAACATTGTCCAATTTTTTTTTTTACCTTGACTTTCCCAATGACCTTTGACTTCACTATTTATTGTGGCTAAATCTCAGTTTTAAAGGAACTATTTAGGATATTTTCATCAAACTTCATACACTTACACCAATTTTCATGTTCCATTACTAATGAACCCTAGATAGGGCATTCATGTCCTATGTTTTTATTTTTTTTCCCCAAAAAGTAGTCTGACAGAATAGTAAATGGCTATAAATTTGTTTTAACTTTGACTCTGACAGAATAATAAATAGCTAAGAATTTTTGAACTTTGACCTGGAAGTATAAAATTTGTCAGTGATTATTGTTATAAATCAGTGTCTCTACGTAATTACAATTTCTTACGTTTCTTATTCTTCTCTCTATTCATCAGTTCCTCTCTCTGTTTGATATTGGGTGGCTCTAATTTGTTGAAGTTCCACAACAACCAACATCTGGATGCTGGTTTGATACCTGGAAACAAGACAAATATAACTTTTACGGTAAAAAGTGGTCAAGAAAAGTCCATCTTCCCCTTAATCTTGCTCATGAAACAATGTACATTATATGATAGACATAGAATTCACCTGCAATCCAGCTATAGACCAGGGTAACTAAATCTTCCTTGAACTGCTCGTTAAACTGTCTGTAGGAGTCCGGGAAAGAGTGGCAGTAGGCAGCGTAGATCGCCTGGGCAACCAAAGTGGGGTAGTCCTGGATAATATACGGCAAGTATTTAGTACATGTATTCAAGCTTGTTTCACCCCAAAGAGCTGAAACTATGATACATGTATGTGCTTTCAAACTTTCACTATTATAAACTTCATACATTTAAGGAGGAGAAGGACCTTGAGCTGAAAAAATACTTGTCATTCAATTTTTTTCATATTTTGTATATTTCTAATTAAGTATGTCCCACATATCTTAAAGCAGTTATATCATTAGGTTTCTTACCTTATTTTGGAGATATTGATTGACAAATACTATGCCCTACAGTATCTAAGTGGAGTTATACATGTAATTCTCCATGTTTCCGGGCGCATTACTCTGTCCATAATGGGATTTTTTAAGCATACATAAAAAATATCAAAGTGGACATGTATCTTTTAAAATATTTCAGAGTATAACTAGAATTTAAAATTCGAAAAAGCAAGTTTTGTCTATCACACTGCATCTGGATAGGGAAAATTACGCACTTTCTAAGACAACTTAAACAATAAAAAACGTAATTTACAAAAAATTCTATCATTCAATATTTTTTAATTTATGTTGAAATGCAAATCCTTCAAATTATTGATTAACTGTAAAATTTTTCGAATGATGAAGCTGACCTCATTATTTCACAGGACATCGTTAAAGAGGACATAAGCATGACAAAAACGTGTCATGTTACATTTCTCGAGTACGGGAAAAACCAACTATGACGTCACACTACAGCTAAATAAGCGAAATAAGATATACCTACATAAGATTTCCGTCATCAGCCATGCAAAAATAATTTTTGTGTTCCACGTTTCTCAAAATATTTCATCATATACCGATTATGACCTGTTTTTACATAATAATACCGCCCCTCTGTTCACAGTATGATCTTGCTGTACTAACAGATCGTGTATGACGTCACTGACTTGTTGGACGCACAGTTTAGGGAAACAGAGGAGTGGATCAATCTTTTTCATAATTTGTTAATGTTTACAAGAATGTTAAAACTTTTTTATTTTTTATATTAGATGGTAATTAAAGTTAAAAAATTGTCAAAAAATTATACAAGAATTGATGCTTTACACATTTTGCACTTATATAAACGGAGACTATGTGACCATGTGTCCTTCATCCCCTTAAATAAATACTCCATTTATTAAGTTTCAACAAGATATCTTAATAAAAGCAAAAACTGATTAAAACTACCAAAAAGAAAGTTAACTTTGTCATATGAATTTAGTTGATGTAAGTTTTATATTTCATGTATCATATTAAACTCTATTATTTATTTGAAATAGTCCCAAGGTTTAAAGCACTATGTTTCACTATTAATGAATGAAATGATAATAAATAACTAAATTTTTATGTTTATTCTAGGTCATTGACCTTTATATTCATTTTTTATGGTTTTCTTGGTTTTTATTTCCTCTTCCTTTGAAATAAGTCACATATATGATAATCCAAACCACAAATAAATCTAAACACTGTCCCACTGTAATTATTCCAAACAATTTATCATTAGGTGTAATAGCGGCAGCTGACCTTGAAGAAGACATCTCGATACTGGGGATTCCTGACGTATAACATTAGCTTCACATAGTTGTACGCTGCTCTGTTAAACAGCTTGACTTGGGAGTTTTTACTCGACTGAAACTTGTCCAAAAATAGGTACCAGAAAATGTCCTGTAAAAAAGGCAGGAAAATCAAGTCTAATCTAAATTCATTTGAATCCTTGTTGTAATTAGAATATATATCATAGGAATAAGTTTCAATGATATATTTAATATCTGTGATATAAGATGCTGAATATATAATGTACTGTACAGGGTTTATCTTATATGCTAATACTTACAGAGCATACTGCTTGGGACATTTCAGAATAAAACCATTTTTCAAATTCTGGTCTGTAGTCAGGCTGAAATAAAAAAAAGGGGGAAAAACTATGAATACATCTACACCAATTTTCTCAAGCCCTGTATTTCATGAGTGTCTCTTGACCTAAATATACTGAAACGCAAAAGAAACGCAACATCCTATTTTAGGGGGAAATATTATATATAGGATATAATTTTGTATCTAAAAAGTAAGGATATCTTCAACTTTGTAAATATCGGTAATTTAACGGTTGAATGATTTTCATACCAATACCGGAAGTTAAGTTTGAGTCCGCTTAACAGAAATCAAAAATTGCATGTTTAACAAAACATTTGGCAATAACATGGACTTTTAATGGTTTGTATCTGTTCATCATAAGTAATGCAGCAATATTCCGAAAAATAAATTATCCTTTCTTTTCTGTAAGCTATGCCAAGGCTTCCTGAAAATGACTTAAGTACGCATTTTCATTGCTCTAGCTGGAAAATCTCAAAATAAGGGTGATGGAGAGTTGCAGATGCAAATATGCAATACATCACGCCTCAAGAGGCTCTTACGTATCATTAGCATAAATGACAGTCCTTGGACGCTAGGCTAGAGGAAATTCAACCTCGTCATCTTAAAAACAGGCATTTAAAAATGGCAAAGAATGTTTCTTTCGCTCAGATCTCGAGACCGATGAACCTACTGCATCGTAGAAATCAAGCTGCAATTGTTGTGCATGGCAGTCTTGCACGCTGTTATTGAATGGCCGGGGTGGGGGGTGTTTTAACAGTCATGAGTTACTTTCTAAAGTTAAAAGATAATCATTTAACATTTTTATCAAATCTCTGATGTTTTTAAATCGAGTTCAACATTACTGAATTCATGTTTGAAAATCATTAGATAAAAAATTCAAATATTTGTAGATCACTGCTTGTTGCGTTTCTTTTGTGTTTCAGTATAAAATTACATGCAGTGTTTCCCTTTATTTCAGAGTATAGGGTTAGAGATCAATTGTAACAGGCTTTGGGTTGAGGTTTTACAAATCTCTGTGGACTTTACAACAATTAAATTAAATTTTTGTTTAATTCAAAGTGGCATTTTTATCAAATGAAGCGGTCAATTTGGCTGGTAGCCGGTTCTTAGGGAAAACACTGATATATGACATCAAGGTCTTATCAAATTCCGAAGGATTTTTTTAAAAAATGCTGTCCCCTAAAACATCCTAAGGCAAGTAGAATTAGAGCTTGAAGTTTACCTTTTTATGGAGCTGCATGTGAGCTGCAACTGCTTTTTCTAACATTTCCACCAAGGGGATTTCGTCAGGGAGGGCTGTTAGCTCCGTGGAATCATACCCAGGATACTGGTGGAGCTAGAGTTATATGTCATCACATAAACATATTGTAAACTTATAAGTATTCAATCTAATTAAAATTAGACGTTCCAAATCCGCTACTGCTTCGAAGTGGAAGCGGATTCGGAACATCTAATTTTAATTAGATTGATAAGTATTAAGGATCAAAAATGCTGTTTATCAATGACATATGAGGTATTCTTGGAACACTGTTTTTATTGTAAATTTTGATGTTGCATCTTCCACCTTAGATGTATTAATGGTGTATATGAATAATTGATCTGCATACCTCAACAAACTTTGGTTTTCCTGATTCTTTCTTAATCTGAAATGTAAAAAAAAAATTAACATTTATCCAAAAAGAAATTCAGCTAAAGTTTTGTAATATATGTTTTAGACTACTTAAGGAGCAGACTGCAATCTTTCTGAGGTGTTGTTGACCCATGGAATGTAATGCTTAACCACATCATCTAGTTTTTATTGAAAAAAAATTATCCTAAAAACATTTTCTTTCATATATGTGTGTGTCAACCAACAATATATTCTATTGGGATGGTTGTAAAACTTTGCTTTGTTCTTCCAGAAAATAATCTGTAAAAGAATTTCTCCATTCATTCCTGTGAAAAGTTTAGGATCCTTATTATGACCCTATCCTGGCCCTTGTGGTCTATATTTGAAATAATTCAAGTTGACCTTTATCTTACCACAAATTATGCCTGTTAATTATATTTTAAATATGTAGCCCACTTTATACCTGACAGCTGTAGCTATTAATTACATCAGAAACATTAATTCAAGCAAGAACTGTCTGTGTAATGGCAAAATAAAGATTAAAAACCTTAAGAAAAAACAAAAACAAAACTTAAAATTAAAAAATAAGTTTTTTTAGTTTACAATAAAAAATATAATATTTATAAATAATAAATATATAACAAGTACCATATGTGTCCAAATTTATTTCAAATTGAATAAGTTACTAACCAACTACTTCTGACGCTGTACTGTACTAATTATTTGAGGAGTCATTTACCACTTTTATGACACTATGTACTAATTAAATGAGGAGTCAATTACCACTATTATTACACTGTGTACTAATTGAATGAGGAGTCATTTACCAATTTTATGACACTGTGTACTAATTGAATGAGGAGTCATTTACCACTTTTATGACATTGTGTACTAATTAAATGAGGAGTCATTTACCACTTTTATGACACTGTGTACTAATTAAATGAGGAGTCATTTACCACTCTTATGACACTGTGTACTAATTAAATGAGGAGTCATTTACCACTCTTATGACACTATGTACTAATTAAATGAGGAGTCAATTACCACTTTTATGACACTGTGTACTAATTGAATGAGGAGTCATTTACCACTTTTATGACACTATGTACTACTTAAATGAGGAGTCAATTACCACTATTATTACACTGTGTACTAATTGAATGAGGAGTCATTTACCACTTTTATGACACTGTGTACTAATTAAATGAGGAGTCATTTACCACTTTTATGACACTGTGTACTCATTGAATGAGGAGTCATTTACCACTTTTATGACACCATGTACTAATTAAATGAGGAGCAATTACCACTATTATTACACTGTGTACTAATGGAATGAGGAGTCATTTACCACTTTTATGACACTGTGTACTAATTAAATGAGGAGTCATTTACCACTTTTATGACACTGTGTACTAATTATAGGAGGAGTCAATTACCACTATTTATGACACTGTGTACTAATTAAATGTGATCTTACTGTAGTTTTGCTAGGCTGCATGCTGACTTTAGAGATATTTTTAACCCTCTCACTTCTCCCAGGTAGGAAAGCTGCATAATAAAACAACATATCAGATTTAAATAATTTCACCTGTAAATTTACAAATTTTATCCATTTTCAACATTTATCTTTCAAATATCATAGACATAAAAATTCACTCAAAATCTTGATAGTTTGTTAAGTAATACAAACTGATGACCTAAAATCACAAGACCTTAATTTATATACGTGAATGTGTGATTTAAATTCTTACTCTGCTTCATTGTAAAGTACCCTGCAAATTTGTTTATTTCTTTGGTTTCTCTCTCTGAAATAAATGTAATAATAATAATAATAATTCAATCATAGTTTAATATACATGCCATATTTTTCAAATTTTCATTTCCTGCATGCTTGAGCAAATATTAAATTGTACAAATGAAGACCTCTTCTTTCATATCTGTCTCTTCCTCTGGCACTAGCCACCGACATTGTATCGTCAGTGTCTTCATAGTTGGAGGCTCGACTTTCTACAACCAATGCTGTGTACTTCTGTAGTTTTCTGTCTAGTTTACTGATTTTCTTATTAACTTCATCAATGGATCCAATGAAAAAAGCTGATAATTCAAGTTAAGAAAACGATAAAAACTACTCTTTATTCTTGGAAAGAAATAAAATATTCTACCAAATGTATACATATATATTTCCCTGCTCTATAAATCTGTCAAAAAGCATAAAATGCTTCAAGTTAGTTCATATACGTATGTATGAGATATGAGCAAAGTAAAGTATAATACCGGTATATTATGTTTTATAATTATCTTCATAGAGAATTATCTTCATAGATGGCACTCTATTTTACAAGACATTTTTTGTCATTTAGTTTGTAAAAATGACAAACTCAGAAGGAATTAACAATAATTAACATTATAACTTAGTCAATTTATTACTAGTACATCCAAAAGAGGCAGGAAGGAAATTACTTTATACATTATTACTTTAAATGCATCATCATAAATATTCAAATCACCAAAAACCTTAAAATTCAAGGTTTTGGGTCATTTTTAAGATTTATTTCATACTATATATTTATTTCAGGGTCAGAATTCGGAAACTAAAAGAGGAATTAGAAATAGCCAATGAAAACAAAGATATCAGATGAGCAAGAATGATTAATTTGTGTAGCTTAATGCCAGCCACCATAGCCACCTCATTTCAGGTGTCCTACAACATTGAATATTTATCACTACTGCATACATTGCTGTCAACTCCTATATATCAACACGTGGTTTTAGATGATATCACCAATGTCCTAAACTTAAATGTACTTGGTCAATTTTAGGCCATTATTTTTTTTTTTATTCTATACATTTACGATAATTCAAAGTAGTAATCTTTGATTGCAAAGTATGTAGAGGAAATCTCTCAGGACATAAATAATAAAATTAATCTAGAGATGTAATACAGAAAAAAAAACACAAGAAGACCTAGATTTAGTTGGATGCTCAGTGGATGATTAAAAATAAACTTAGTACAAGTCTCCAATAAACACAATGTAATATGCTTTATGGCATGTCTACAAGATTACAGAAATGTCAAAAGTTAGAAGATAACTTTTAAATGGTAGGCAAATATTTAAATTTGTGAAACAGACTAAGTGATTGGGTGTTTACAATTAGATACATGTAATATACTTTATCATGGGATGTACATGTAGAGTTCATGTAAAAGAGAAATTGTAAGAAAACTTGCTGTGTTATAGGAGAGTGAGCTATTTTATGTTACCAAATGTATTTCTTAAGTTTTTAAATATTGTATTTCCACACTTTACACATTTAACTTACTGCCACACTGTCTGGTGTAATGTTAAAAATCAAAACTATTTAGAAAAAAAAAGTTCAAACTGCAGAAGAGGGCACTATATATATCAATACTTAAAAAAAATCAAGACATTTTAACTCCTACTAGCTTTTTATTTTCTATTTTAAACTGGATGCCAATAAAGGATTATTGTATGTTTAGAAAGGTTAATCTTTCTGTTTTAGGTTTCATAAACAATCAAATGTCAAAAATTAAACTAAATGTGTTTCAATTAACAAGAGATGTCAGTTGTCACCAAACCTGCTAGATTAAATGCATGATAGTATGTCAGACTTAGTAGACAACAAACCAAAACAAAAAATTGCTAACATCTGTAACTACTGTGAGCTGCTTATCTGCATTTTTTAAAACAACTATTACAAAATGTTCAAAAGGCTAGTGTCAGCTGATATTTTTAAATCAGTGTAGCTAATGGAATACTTTGACAGTATCAATACATAACAATCTTTTATTTTTATTATTTCTGCATGTGCCAAAGTCTTGAATGCTAAGTGACAGTATAACTGTTAATATATTTATATGTCATGCTTGATTTTTTAAAATCAATGTGTGTTTATACTTAGCATGCTTAGATACCAATCTTTAATATGCTAATAATATGTTTGTAAAAATGTTTTAATGCAGGACCACAGTATTAAAAATAACTGTTTGCTAATTGTGCAATCCTGATAAAAACTATTATCATTATTACATAATTTTGTCCATGCAATGACAAAAACAGTGAATACACTTTCAGTCTAACAGATAGTTAATAGAAAGAGAAAATAACAGGTCCTGTCTATACTGAGTTATTTTAAACTCCTCAAAGCAACTCTACTCTGGAACTTTTTTTTAAATTCCATACTAAGATAAGTTTGCAAAGAAGATAGGGAAACACTTAACTTACTCATGGTGACAAACCTTCATGTTTTTCCGTTTTATTAAAACTTAAGTTTAGTACTAGCTAGTAAGATGCTTAACAAGATACTGGTAGCTAGTAAGATGCTTAACAGTGCTTATGTATTTTTACTACTGTTTTAACTACTATTTAATTTGAACAAGAGGCCCATAGGCCACATCACTCACCTGAGGACATTCAGGCTAGGAAAAAAAAATTTGGAAATCAGTTCAGTATATTGATAAGTGATCCCCATACAACATCCCCCTTCTGGCAGGGGAGGGTGCATAATTTGAACAAACTTAAATCTACACTAACTGAAGATGCTTCCATATATTTATATGACTAATCATAGCGAGCACAGCAAGCGGCACGAAGCGCTGCTCGTCACTGCGAGCTCTAACGACAACGCCTGGGCGAAGAGAAAATTCGGACTACTGCACATTCATTCAATAGAATTTAATTCTGGACCCACAATGCATCGCTTGTTTAAGCTACGTTCTCGCGAGAATAACAACAACAGTTTAACTCACAAAAAATAAACTCGCCTTGATTTAATGGATATATTGCAGATAAATAGTAAATAAAACGTTCTACATTAAAGTCAACAATGTTCAGGCTTCAGTTTGGTATTGCAACTTATACGACGTCATGTGACGTCAGAGTCTAGATGCAACAAATATCAAGTGCAGTTTGACGAATGAGCCCGATCTAAATTAAACCCGAATAAATGTCTGCGCTCGCCCTAACGGTCGCACCATCAACATATTAGCTTTAAAAGATTTTTACAGATTTTCCCTATGTATTCCTGTCTAAAAGTTTAAGATCTCCTATTGTGACCCCACCCTACCCCTGGGAGTCATAATACAGTCAAACTTTGTTATCTTGAACTCGATGGGGCCAAGAAAAACTTCGAGATATCCAAGGATTCGAGATATCCTGGGTAAAATACTTAAAGAATAAGCAGTTGAGACATAAATGTCACTTTGACATATCCATGGTATTCAAGATATCCATGTTCGAAATACCGAAGTTTCACTGTATTCACAAGCTTGAATCTACAGTAAATGAGGATGCTTCCATATCAAAATGACTAATCATGGCTTTGCTGCTCTTGAGGAGATTTTTCTTATATATATTCCTATGTAAAACTTTGATCATCCATTGTAGCCCCCCTACCCCTGGGGGTCATGATTGAACAAACTTGAATATACACTACATGAGGATGCTTTCAATTTATAAATATGACTAATCATGGCTTTCCTGTTCTTGAGGAGGAGATTTTTCCTACATCTTCCTTTGTATAACTTTGATCCCCTGTTGTGGTCCAACCCTACCCCAGAGGTCATGATTTGAACTAACTTGAATCAACACTAGTAACTAGTAAGTAGTAAACTTCACAATTAGTATAAATTTAGTGTTATGTGCAATGGAGCATAGCTAATCCCTATCGGTTGTCTAAACGGGGTAAAATTCAAGATAATCAAGCCATGATGTGTTTACAAGCAGTAATTGGGTTTTTACATAGGATCCAAGTTTCCTGGGTGTGAAAAATTAAATACCATGTGTACATAGGTATATTTTGGTCCATGAAAGAAGCATTGAATATGATAGATCCAAAGTCAAATTGTGTACATTTCATTAGTTTTGAATACAGGGACACCAGATGTGGACTGGAAGTTGTGACAAGTGATTCGATATTCGGAGTCTAAGGACTTATATTTGCATCAGAAGAAAAAACATAAACGTTCTGTTACTATTAAACAATAAAATAAAAAAACAATTATCAATACATATCTTAAAAAAATTAAATGTGTATCAAAAAATATTTACATTTTCCAATGTCTTTCTCTGTGATAAAACTACAAATAAGGTAATGGCTTTATAACCCCATAAAGCGATTTGCTCAGCATGTGACAGAACTGCATGTTTTTTCACTTCATGTTGCTTAGTAATACACCTGGCGGGGATGCTGAGATTTCTTATTATTGAATTTTTTTATTGAATCAAGAATCAGGTAAAAATGTAAATATAAGGAACAACTGTCTGGTTTTTGGTTTTAAGATGATGGTCAATCAATTTGCTCGTGTGACAGTTATTCCTTAAATAAAATAAAACAAAATAAATAAAGATTTAATAACAGAACTCTTTTGCATTCAAGTGCCTAATTGCATTCCCCCATTATAATGCCACCCTTGTTATAATGCCAAAATTGTCAAGGTACAAATGTTGGTGGTAAAATGGGGAAGCACTGTACATTAATTTCATATTTACAAATTAATTAGAAGTGTCAATACAATTCCTATAAACTGGAACATGTTTTACATAAAATATATTTAATTTGTTTATTAGGATTGAAGTGCAATAAGAAGTAAATATTCTTATAACATTCAAAGCACTTAAAAGTTGAACAAGAGGCCCAAGGGTCAAAATGCTCACCTGAGTCACAATAACCTTACTGTTCTTCATCAGATTTTTTTCCCTTTATATTCCTTTTTAAAACTTTTATCAGTATCATGGCCCCACCCTACCCTTGGGGTCTTGATTTGAACAAACTTGAATCTACAAAACCTGAGGATGCTTCCATATAAAAATGACTTATTATGCCTTTGCTGTTCTTGAGACCATTTTTTTAAAGATTTGTTCCTGCCTGTTTACATTCCTATGAAAAACTCTAATAACCCAGTGGTCCCACCTACCTTGGGGGCCTTGAGAATCACACTATGTAATTTAGCTTTAACATAAATTACAACTTTCCTGGCCTCGTGGTTCTTGAGAATCTCTCCTTGAAATAGGGTGTTGTACAAACATGAACCCCCTTCACCCAAGGATGCTTTGTGGCAATTTTGGTTCAAATGGTCCAGTGTTTGTGGAGAAGTTGAAATTGTAAAAAGTTTACAAAAATCGTAAAAGTTAAGTTCTAGCCATCATTATTTACCCTTCTTTTTTTATCAAGTTCCAACACATTAAACCATAAAAACTAGAGATGGCAATTTGTAACCGGTTAACCGATTACTCGGTCGGAACGATGGCAATCAATTAGAAAATCTGTAATCGGTTAATCGGAAAAAATAAAATATTTGTTAAATTGAACACATTTTTTAAAAAAAATTAAAAAAAAGAAACCTCTGCACAAAGGATGATCATTTAGGATTTAAAGGATCTAATTTGGATGTTTATGAATCTCCAGATTGAGACCGTTGCGTAATTAGTCAGTTTATGTAGTGTTAATTACTGTGAAAATATCATGTCATTATCCCGACTGTCCTGTAATTCTTTAATGATAATAATTGAGTCATTGAACACTGTGAATTGTTTTGTTTGTCGTTTTCAGTTTTCAATCCAATTTACATATAGATATTAAACAAACATTGTAAATTAAGGGCTATAGAGTTCACATGTAGTTTTTATTATCATGGTGAAAATGCAGAAAGAACCTTTGTGACATCTGCTCTGGAAAATTATAGTTTCTTCGACTTTTTTCATGGTTTTCTCAATTTTTTCTTGTCTACCGAAATTTAAATAAGAAATATGTGCCCCTATTTTTCTGATCCAGAATCAAGATAATGGAATGTTTTAACTTCTATCGTCTTTTTTGGGTCAATTTGTGTACATACGGACAGAGTTACTTGAAAAACAATTGTCAAGAAAACGTGCATTTTGATCAATTAACCGGTTAATTGGTCAGAACGTCTTGCGGTTAACCGATTAGCAATTCTGTAATCGATTGCCATCCCTAATAAAAACGTAAGTCAAACTATTCTGAATAGCTTAATAAAGCTATATAGCTAAATCAAGCTATATTGCTAAAGATAATCCTTTCTTTACTAGACATATCTTTTTTCAAAACATGACTTGAACTTACAGAAAGTTTGCCCCTTCAACAGGTCCGGCACAATCTCTTGATTTAGCTATATAGCTTGATTAAGCTATTTAGCTTTATTAAGCTATCCAGAATAGCTTGATTTAGCTATTTTATCACACTTTTTTCTTAAATGTGTTTTTTTTCTCAGCATGCACAAAAAGTCGCACCTTGGTGCAGTGATAATATTCAACCTTGAACTCTTCTGAAAATAATTCATGTAAAAATCATTCATCAAATTGTGTTTCCTTAAGAGACTTTGTACTCCAAGTTCTAAAAGTTTTGGGGCTATATAAAGCATTTGATACAGTTACTTCTTCAATGAAATTATAAAGGAGGCCAATTATGGTCAACAAGTTAATTGATTGGTAATAATTCAGTACAATGAGAAGGGTGTCCAGTCACTTCGTACACAAACCGAGTCGTACACAAACCAACTCGTATACAAAAAGTCAACTCGTACACAAAAACCAGAAGTCAAGTCGTACACAACATTTATATACAATCGTTATGATTTAATTTTATACAAATAATGTTTGATAACACGAATTGTTACTTTTCTTTAAGTTTTTTAAGTTTTTTTCCCTAAATATTTAAATAATTCAACTTCCCTGATAGGATAGGAACATCAAAGACATCCAAGAAGTATTGTTAAACCAACACCCGCGCGGTGGTTTCTTGGATCTGCAACAAACGCTAATTACGAGATGCTCATAATTCGGTATCCTTAAATTATGAGATACTATATGTATCGAAAACGTCTGTTTTCATTAATAAACCACAACAAAGAATGAAAGATGAGAAACGGCCTCAAGACGGCACAAGAGAATAACAATGGGAAAATTATGTTATATGAAGGAACCAAAATGACCATAATATTGCCCCCCCCCCCCCCCAATAATTTTCTCGATTTAAATACATAGCTATTTTATGATTGTGTCACCTAAATCATGTAAATATTAACTTCTGATAACTTTTGTATGCTCTATAAGGAATTTTTCCTTGATGGTGTCCACCATAAACTGCACATTTCTGAAATTTCTTCCAACGGGTCTGTTCATTGGATACAAAGATAAAACCAGTCTTTTTGAAAGAAAAAGTTGCAACATATAAAAATCTAAACATCAATTGGTGAACAATTTTGAAAGTTAAGAAATGTCTTATTTAAAAAAATGAACGTAGCTAACATCTTTGCATTTAAGGACAAATGATACAAACAAAAAATGGATATCTGGATAGGTGTATATTTTTGGATCTATTTTGATTGCAAATGATGCAAATAATAAATTTCTAAATTATTAAGAAATTGTAAACTTTCTATGGTGTTCAAAATTCTACCTGCCTTCAACCATCCTTATTAATCTATACAATTTTTGTCACTTTAAATCTTATTAATGTGAAATTTCGAATGAAAAATTAAAAACTATGCGGTTAAATTTATTCATTTTACTGATATAAACATGGTTGTAGTTGTTATTTTCAAGATATTCAATAAATGTTTGTATCATCTGTCCTTAAGCAAAATAATATTCAACATCTATCCTTCACTTCGATAATTTTTGAACTATGTTATAGTTACATTATAGATATTAACTGGTTATTGGTAAATACACTCACAATTTTTAATTCACGAGGGATGGAAATCAAACATCTGCAAGTTATGAATATGTGTAGATTTATAAAAATTCTAAAGGTAGAGAGTCTTAGTATGTATTGAAAATAAACATCCATTAGTTAATCTGATAAAGATAATCGACAAGTGTTGACCTGATCAGCTTCATTCCTGCTGTTGTGCTGGACATAAATGATATGCATTCGAGAATGGCCAAATGTTATGTAACCTGTAATGTATAATGTGATAATAAATAGGTCCAGTACTCTGGCTTGTTTGGGTGTTTAGCATGATTGTTTTCTGTACTCCTCATGCTCTCCAACTGAGTATGAAGTTTCCAAGATCAAGTTATCACAAGAATTAATTCTATTGAACAACTTGACCAACAAGCCTTGGCTAAATCTAATACTGTCTGACGCCATGACGTCAGACAATAAAAAAGTATAATAAATAAGTAGTACTATAGAGAGATAGAGAGTATATATAATGACATCATGTGTCAATATTCATATAACAAAATTATGTACGACCAGAGACATATCTCTTATATGTCTCTGGTACGACATACATTCCGGAAAATCTTGTCAACGAATCAATCTGCGCATCGCATCGCGCATATGGTATAGGCATAAACTAGTTAAAAATGTACAGAAAACACATTTGTGTATGAGTTGACTTCTCAATTTTTTTGGAAACTATGGCAAATATTACCTTAAATCACATAGGAAAACGTATGTATGAGTTGTGTACGAGTTGACTTCTGGTTTGTATACGAGTTGACTTTTTTTGTGTACGAGTTGACTTTTTGTATACGATTTGGTTTGTGTACAACTCGGTTTGTGTACGAAGTGACTGTAAATTATGAGAAGCAATCATACTTATCCATGCCTCAACGTACACAAGGTAGTGTACAGTTACTCAAACAATGGAAATTCATCTTTTGCTTAAAAGTTTTCAAATGCTGCAATGTTAAAACTATCTTTGATTCCGGTTGTTGTTTTGATAGCCCACAGTACATATATGAAAAGTCAAATACTAGCGACTTTTTATCTATTTCTTACCAAAAAAAAAACCAACATTTTTTTGAAAAACTGCACATATAAAGCTTTATCAAGCTATTTTGAATAGCTTAATAAAGTATATAGCTTTTTCAAGCTATACAGCTAAATCAAGAGATTGTGCTGGACCTGTTCAATATGAACAGATGAATATAGCATGCATAGCAACGGTTTGCAAACATAATATATAAAAAAAATTAGCATGTATTTTGTATATACAAAAGGATACGTGAACGATTTCTCTGTTTGTTTTCCAAAAACTTTTTCTTATTGTCAAGAACTTCTTGTTTTAAGTCATAGTTTTCTTCACATAAATCCATAGGCGAGCCTACCCGATTTATGCTCGCCATCTTGGATGCCAGACGTCTTGGTGTCGTAAACGTTTTAACAGGGTTGCTTTTTATAGTCAATTCGTTCCAAAATCATTTCACCTTTAGGATAAATGTTTTCAGAGAGGCAAAACCAAGGAAATTTACAGATAAAAGTCGCAGTGGAACCATGCTCAGATGAATAATTCTTGAATATACAAATAATATGTATATATTTGTTTCGATATGTATCGAATTTCAAACCGAATGTTTTTAAAGAAGCATGCATGGGCACTTGCACACTCTGCAACATAATGCCTGTCTCTATCATACGAAAGATGTCTGTATTACAGTATATTGCGCATATCAGACAGGCAAGGCCAGTCTAACTCTGCAACAACCACAGCATTCGGCAGACATGCAGACAAGACAGGACAAAGTTACATTGTGATTTGTTTAAAAAAACTAGATTAAAAAAAGACCTTTAGAATTTTTTTGTTATGCCCCCGTAATCGAATATTTTATATAATTTTTGGTCTGCCCGTCTGTCTGTTTGTCCTTCAGAAATTTAACCTTACCCATTTATTTTGAGCGGTTCACTGTTGGTGATAGAGCTTTCATATTTATCAATCAGAGTTTGATCTACTTTTGATTTAACCTTGGCCACAACTTTTGAATGGTTTGATTGCTAGTCATATTTCACGTGTATTACTTGTGACAGGACCTTTCTTTGGGCATCAACATTTTTATCTCATGACCTTGACCTTGGAGTTGACATATTTTGAAAACATTAACCTTGTGTATAATTTTTGAACAGTTGGTGCTAGGGCTTTCATATTTCACTCATGTATTCCTTGTGACAAGACCATTCCTGGTACATGTACCAATATTTTTTACCTCATGACTTTGACCTTAGTGTGTGACCCACTTTTGAAAAAGCTTTACCCTTGGCCATAATTTCTGAATGGTTGGTGCTAGGGCTTTCAAATTTCACATGTATTTTTTGTGACAAAATCTTTCTTTCAGTACAAACATTTTTGACCTTGGAGTTTTACTTACATTTGATAAGTTTACTCTAACCTTGGCCTTGAGTAGCCATATGTGGAGATCAGTGTTTATTTTGTTTTGTTTGTTTTCTTACAATGGTCTGGTATATATCATGACATAATTCAAAGGTACATGTATATGTAGCTGGCTATATGTGCATTCACAATTATCTCCCTTAAAAGGAGATAGCCCTAACCTTATTGATATTTTATTTGAACAAAGTTTTTTAGCTCCACAGAGCCAAAAGCTCAAATAAAATTTTCTGATCAAAGAGTGTCCAATGTCCCTCTATCTGTCTGCAATGTGTCTTCTGTAAAGTTTTCACATTTTCAACTTCTCAAAAACTTTATTTATGTGAAAACTTTCATATATGTCTATTTAAAGTGTAGATTCAAGTTTGTTCAAATCATGGCCCCTGAGAATAAGGGATTTAAGCTTTACATACATGTATTCTTTGTGACAAGATGAAAACATTTCTAAACAAGATGTGTTTGTGAAACACTGATGCCCCCGTATGGCAGCTTATGGTGAAGGTTAAAGTTTCTCAAATGCAAGTCAAAATCCAGGCCAAAAGATAAAAAATGTTGATACCCAAAGAAAGGTCTTGTCTCCAGGAATACACCTGTGAAATTTGAAAGACCTAGATACAACTGTTCAAAGGTTATGGCCAAGGTTAAAGTTTTTTAAATAAAAGTCAAGGTCAAGGTCAAAGTGGTTGGTATCCAAAGGAAGATCTTGTCACAAGGATTACATATGTGAAGTATGAAAGCCCTAGCATCAACCATTCAAAAGTTATGGCCAAGGTTAAAGTTTTTCAAAAGTAGGTCAAACTCCTAGGTCAAGGTCAAAGGGTCAAAGTGGTTGGTATCCAAAGGAAGGTCTTGTCACATGGATTACTAATGTGAAGTATGAAAGCCCTAGCATCAACCATTCAAAAGTTATGGCCAAGGTTAAAGTTTTTCAAAAGTAGGTCAAACTCCTAGGTCAAGGTCAAAGGGTCAAGGTGGTTGGTATCCAAGGGAAGGTCTTGTCACAAGGATTACATATGTGAAGTATGAAAGCCCTAGCATCAACCATTCAAAAGTTATGGCCAAGGTTAAAGTTTTTCAAAAGTAGGTCAAACTCCTAGGTCAAGGTCAAAAGGTCAAAGTGGTTGGTATCCAAAGGAAGGTCTTATCACAAGGATTACATATGTGAAATATGAAAGCCCTAGCATCAACCATTCAAAAGTTATGGCCAAGGTTGAAGTTTTTCAAAAGTAGGTCAAACTCCTAGGTCAAGGTCAAAGGGTCAAAGTGATTGATATCCAAAGGAAGGTCTTGTCACAAGGAATACACATGTGAAGTTTGAAACCCTAAGCACCAACTGTTCAAAAGTTATGGTCAAGGTTGAAGTTTTTCAAAAGTAGGTCAAACTCCAAGGTCAAGGTCAAAAGGTCAAAGTTGTTGGTATCCGATGGAAGGCCTTGTCACAAAGAATACACATGTGAAGTTTGAAACCCCAAGCACCAACTGTTCTGAAGTTATGGCCAAGGTTAAAGTCTCATAAAATTTTTGCAAAAGTGGGTCAAACTCCAAGGTCAAGGTCAAAAGGTCAAATATGATGGTACCCAAAGAAAGGTCTTGTCACAAGGAATACACATGTGAAATATGAAAGTCATAGCTCCAACCAATCAAAAGTTATGGGCAAGGTTAAAGTTGACAACAGACAGACAGACAAACAGACAAACGGACAAACAGACAGACAGGACAAAAACAATATACCCCCTGGATCTTTCGATCTGGGGGCATAAAAATGTGTGAGAACCTTAGAGGTCAGGAGTCAGATGGTCAAAATCAAACCATCCCCATATTTTCCTCCTCTCACTGGGACATCATTCTTTCTCCCCTTATTTTTTCTACTTTGATCTCTGTCTTTCCCCTCATCTCCCTTTCCTTTTCTCCCTTCCTAGTTTACTTGTACAGTGTTCTCTTGTCCCTAACCTTAATCTATGCCATTTCTACCCCATATTCTCCCACATTCCTTTCATACTATTAGCCCTTGTCCCCCTTTTAGCTTCAAATTCACTACAGGAACAGCAGATGGTCGAAGGATTTTGGATCAAAAGTCAAAATTACTGATCTATAGGTTTTGCTTTATTTTGCAAATGTGTCAATAAGAAGCCATTGCATGTGGTTTCATCTGAAAAGAAAAATAAAAGTAGTTTTGTGACAAAGTTGACAAAATTATTCACATATTATAGTTCTTACATTATTGCATCAGAAATTTTGATATATAGTACCATCATGTTTAAAAAGTTAATTTGATAAGTTTTATATTCTGGAGCAAGCAGAATCTGGTTCTGTTAAATAGTAAAGTCATTTCCTTTTATTACCTAGGTAGGTCACAGAGGTGGAGTGAAAATGCACGCCAGTGTCCATTTAGTCAACCAAAATTTTCTCAGCGTTTTATCTTATGAAACCCTGATACCATGTATTGGCTGTCCATGAATTAAGCTAATTGGATACAGGTAATTCAATATTTTTCTGTAATAGATATAAAGACTAATGTACATATGATTTAGACAGATGCATGTGTGTGTCGCATTGTTTATGAGTGAAAAATCTTTGAACAGTACTAAATGGAGCATCCAACTGATACATTATTATTCCATTTTTATATTGCTTCATTTTAGCAAAACCTTTAAGACATGCAGTGTCTTTATAATGTAAACAAAGCTCATCAAATTTTAAGAAAAAATCAATTTTGTTGTAAGATTATAGCAGCAAATACCTCAACGTTCTATAGTCTATGTAAGATTCTTGAATCCCATCTTTATTCTTTAAAGGGTGGTTTATCATTTTCTAAAAGATTGTTTCCTCTGAAAAGGAAGTTGTATAACTTCCAAATGTAATCAATAATATTTTCCCACATCAAATTTAATTACACCCAAGATTTTTGTTGCACTTTAATTAGATATAAATGTCATTTTCATTGCATTTCTTAGAAGCCATGGACAGATATATATATGTGTTAAAATAATGAAGTACCTAGTAATTTTCATAAATTTGTAACACCTGTGGAAAATACTCATTTATAATAATTAAGATCATGTCAAAACTCTTTGCCATTATAAACATTTATGTATTATTTTTAATGCTGTAGGTATTTTTTTTTTTAGACTTCTTTTCCTTCATTCTGACAGTAATTAAGATTATTCAAAAATGGTAATGGATTATGTTCACAGATTACAGTTTTAATTAATTTAGGATTAATTAATTAGTTGAAAGTTAAAATCAACAGATTTAAAAAAAGATATTGAGATTTTTTTTTCTCATCATGTTTCTAACTTACTCCTATAAGTAAGAGCCTTAGTTAACATCCCTATGCTCCTTATGTTATGCGGTGCCAAATCAGAAATATTTTTTGCCCAGGAAGTTTTTTTTTATTAAATATTTTAAAAATTTTAGGCCAGACAGCAGTTATAATCTTAGACTAGAAGAATTTTTTGAACATTACAGAAATCTAGGAGTGCATGTATTAATGTAATTTAATAATACTGATTTTTTTTAATATACAGAATATCAGGGCTTTCAATAAGGGGGAGTAGGACGTGATTTATTGCTATTTCATACTGGGGTAATTGGCAAAATGAACGATTTGAAATAATTCTAAAACAGCCTCTGTAAATGGCTAAATTCACCTCATAATTTCAAAATTATTGAAAGCTCAAGAATATGATATGAATACTGTATTTCATGAACTAGACGTTACATGACTATACTGACGAGGTGTTTGTAGTTGTCATAAAAAGTAAAAATAGAAAAGGAAAAGATCGCCAACAAAAAATGCATGGTTCATGTTCTACTTCACTCATATCAATGAAATGATGGAAATTATTTGCCATTGTTAAGTACAGTGGGTCTCATTTTATCCAATTAGTAGTTTAACTGATATTTTGGCTATTTCAATATAATATCAAGGCACAAAACGATTTCTCATATATCTATTAATAATTTCACCAGATATTCTGTTGAGAAA